CCCTCCCTCCCTTCTTGCCTCTCCTACCCACGGGCGTGGGAGCGTACTGATCACACTGCTACGGAAAAGTCAACCCCAGTCAACGGCAGTCAACACTCACACTTTCTTGCCCTCCACGAGCATGCCGTTGACCTTCTCGATCGCCAGGTTGGCCGCCTCCTCCGTCTCGAAGTGCACGAAGCCGTACCCCTTGCTCTTGCCCTCGGGCGTCACGGCGATCTTGCACGACCAGATGGGGCCGAACGCGCTGAACGTGTCGTGCAGCGCCTTGTGGTCGATCGACTCGTCCAGGTTCTGAGGGGTGGGGAGAGGCGGGGGAAAGGGAAGAGAAAAATGGCAGGGAGGAAGCGAGAAGTGACGTTGGTTTGGCCCCCATTCGCGCCTTCGACAGACCAGATGGGGCCGAACGCGCTGAACGTGTCGTGCAGCGCCTTGTGGTCGATCGACTCGTCCAGGTTCTGAGGGCGGAGGGAAGAGAGGGGAAGGGGAGGGGAAGAGGATGGGGGAGGGGGGATCAGTTGAACAGCGCCCTGTGGTCGATCGACTCGTCCAGGTTCTATGAGCGGGAGAGGGGTTGGAAGAGACAGGAGGGAGAGGGGTGGTAAAAAACAGGAGGGAGAGGGGTGGGAAGAGTCAAGAGAGGGGTGGGAAGGGACAGGAGGGAGAGGAGTGGGAAGGGACAGGACGGAGAGGGGTGGGAAGGGAAAGGAGGGAGTGGTATGAGAAGGGACAGGAGGGAGCGGGATTGGAAGGGACAGGAGGGAGAGGGGTGGGGTGGGCCGGAGGTAGAGGAAGGGAGAGGGGAGGAAAAAAACGGGGAAAGAGAGAGGGAGCAGGGATGGAGCGTGGGACGGGGTGGTACCGCAATCTATTGACGAAACTGTTACCAGAGATTAGCGAACGAGAAACATTTCGCACACCTTGATGAAGATGTTCCCGACGCCGCTGCGGCGGTGGCTGGGGTCGCGGTGGGACCACATGATGCGGATCGGCCGCCCGTTCACCTCGCGGTAGTTCAGCGCCTCCATCGCGCGTTCAGCTGGGGGCGGAAAGAGGGGGGAGGGGAACGCCGTGGGGCCGAGGAGGGGAGGGAGGGGAGAGTGAGGCGGAAAGTGCGAGGGCAGGAACGCGGTGGGACCACATGATGCGGACGGGCCTCCCGTTCACCTCGCGGTAGTTCAGCGCCTCCATTGCGCGCTCGGCTGGCGGGGGGAGAGTGGGGGAGGGCGGGGAGAGCGGAAGACGTGGGGACTGAAGTGTTGAGAGAAGGGGAAGGGGGACATTGGACACAAGAAGCACCAATCATTCACATCGCGGTAAATGAGTGCGCTCACGGCGCAAGGCCCATGACCGTCGATAGCGCACTTAGCGGGGGAGGGAGGAGAGAGCGGAAGGTAAAAGGGGACCGATGGGATCAACGCAAAAAGGACTGGGACGAAATAGGCGCATGGAGGGTGAAAGCCCAAGGTAGACTGAAAGCCGGAAAGTAGAAGTAGTGTCTTTTGCAAATTCTCGAAAGGCCCATGAAGGATGAAATCCAAGGCAGACTGAAAGCCTGGGGGGAGAAGTGGTGCCTTACCCGCATGCTCTGTTGTAAGCAACAATCCCCAGGAGCAACGAAGCGGCAATATTGGGGACGAGTTTCACGCGTATATGCCAGGCCAGGAGACGCCGGGGGCCGGGAGGGAGGGGGGGAGAGAAAAACGTAGGGTATGGGACAGAACGGCGCAGGCGGAGACATTAGGCGTTGAAGTGAAGGCGGAAGAAAACAATTAGGGCGAAAGACATTGCAACGAAATCGCACGTCAGCATGAACACGGTCGGCCGCAGATGCTAAACGTAGGCCATATCCTTCACATGGTTCGAATTGCATATGTAATTCGCTGTTTCATAACTACTCTTGACGGTCGTGTAAAACGCAATTCTAATTTCACGCCCCGAACGAAAGACATTGACGACAGATTATTAGTAGAAACGATCAGCCTGATTGCGCTATCTGATCAGCCTGCGTAATCATGTGGTGCACCAACAGACAGAGGGGGAAGGAAACTGCCGGACAAGTAACGGTCAACTGACAGACAGAAAAGACGCTTAGCCATCCATGTGCAGTACGAAAGCATTTCGAGAAAACAGGCGAATCCAGTAACCTGATCTGAAACTCCTTCAAACACCATCGGTGTGCAGTACGGCTTGCTATAGCTACCGGCAGCGCATCGCCGGAAACACGTCGTATTATGCTAACTGCAGAGTACTGCAGGCAACTCGTTATCACCCCGCTACCAGCTGCGCATCGCCGGGAAACGAATACGCGTACGATCGGCGCATGCGCCTACTCGCATAAGCGTGCTATCAGCGAAAAGAGCTACGGAGGGAATTGTCACACGTTTTCCGGATCGAATCAAAACGAACACGTGTACGATCGGTGAATGCGCCTGCAATCTACTCGAATAAGCGCGCTATCAGCGAGAGACATAGAGGGAAGCGAGAAAGATATCTAACCGTCCACGGCACTACTGTAATTGTCTCAGGCGATTTCGAAGGCACTACGATATGGAAGCCAGGGACGGAAACGGACAATTTACCAAACAGGAAAATATAAAGAAATCTTACCGTCGACGGCGCTGTTGTAGTTGACGTAGGCGTAGCCGAGCGAGCGGCGCGTGACGGCGTCGCGGCAGACGCGGATGGACGCGACGGGGCCGACCTGGCTGAAGAGCTCGTACAGCTGCGCCTCCGTCACCTCCTTGTCCAGATCACCCACGTACAGCGACGCGGACGGCGCTGCGGCTCCCGCGGTAGCCATGGCTTCTCGAGAGGTTGAGAGAGGGATATAAAGCGGTTGAGAACGGTTCGAAGAGAGGAGAATTTCGGGAAACTGACTGCTCCGGGTAATTAGTGCAGCGAAATGATTATTCCAAAGGTGTTGGCTCCGATGGGACTGATGCTTGAAGATCTGATCTGCTCCGGTACAGCGTCGATACTGAACTAGGGCTGTGGAGGATTAAGCCCTAACGTCCGATCTAAGATCGGAAACCAAAAACCGCTACTGGAACCTCGCGTGTTTCTGGCCTAATTTTCTGGTTTTCTATATTTTTTTTGGTTGGTTTTCTAGATGCGAAGCGGGACCTCGATGAGACTCTTTTTTTGGGCTTTTCTAGTTTAAATCCCCGAGGGGAAGGGGAGAGAGAGTCAGAGACTCATAGGAGGCAACAGAAGCAACCTGCAGGCATAGCCCAGGCAGGATGACGTTCCTCGGTGAAGCTAGGGTTTCTGGTCGGGGTTTCCAGAAGGAAGTGAGAAGAGAGAGTGATGATAGGGACCTCGGGACTATCTAAAGAGAGGGTGGAAAGGGAAGTGAAAATCTCCGTTTTGGGTCTCTCCGTTATTGTATTCTTCGGACATGGCATTCCAGCAGTGGCGGATGCTGTGTGGTTATCGAGCGGACTTGTTCCGCGTCAGAATCTTCGATGATTCCTAGGTTGCTCGCCCGCCCTGATTGGATGGTGGAGAAGACGGATTGCTGGAGGGAATAACGGATCGCCCTGTTTTTGGATTTCCGATTCCTTTCGGCAGTGGTTTTGACACCGTCTTGTTTTGCGCTCACGTCCGATACCTTCGGTCAGATAATTGCGCTATTTCCCCTTTTGAGTACAGAGACTAATATTCTGTTTTATTTACTGGGATATCCTAAATTATATCGTTGCGTCATAACGAGCAGCTCGGGACAAAAAATATATTACGCCTCACGGATGGCATGTCATTTGGGAGGCATCAACCCTAAACACCATGAGGCAAGGTGTTTAAGGTTGATCCCTCACAAATGGCCAGCCGTCTGGAGAGGGGTTTATTTTTTTCAGGTATATTTCATAATGTCCCTGGTCACAGGAAATTGGGATTGTCGAAAAAAACTGCCCCAAGGAATCGGACGCGAGGGGAAAAGCGAGGCGGTGTCAAAACCACTGCCGAAAGGAAACAAATACTCCTATACAGGGCGATTCGTCATTTCCTCCGGATTGCTGTATCTCCGTTTCAAATCGCTTCTCTACAGTCCGTTCGTGAAGTTCGTTTCTAGCCCATAAAGCGATGTTCAGAGGTGTGAGTTGCAAGGGAGTGGTGCAAAGCGCCGAGCCTACAAAACGCTCCAAAATGCACAGCATCGTACAAAAACGTTTGACACTCACTGGATGTAATACAAACCAATCCCAAGGCCCGATACCACTTTTTGCCTTGCAGGACCCATGCATACCGTTTGTTTGTGGTCCCACCGGGCCACCCCACCATTTTGTGTCTTGTGTCACTGGTAGAAATCAACTCGCAACAGTCTCGATGTTTTTTTCCCGTTAGTTGCTAGAGCAATATAATCACCTGAACGACCGTACAAAACCAAACTCAATTAGTTGCGTCTTAGTGGTTTATGAAAGAGTCGTCCTTTTACCACCGTTACCGATCAACAGGTTGCAGTTCAAAATGCACCTCGTTTGATCGTTCCTGACAACTTCTCGTCTATTTAACTTCAACTGAGCCATCTTACCATCGTCCAAAATCAACGATGCTCGTCTGATCGCTTTCTCCTCGACTCAGAAAGGTCCTCAACGTTCAAACCACGCTTCTCGCCAACTCCTAGTGTTTTGTTGCGTCGACTTAAAAAGCTCTTCTGGTAAGAGCGTAGACTCGTTGGTTCGTTATGAACAAGGCTCCATTGCTCGTTACGCTCGGGTTTCCATGGACGTTGGCTGTGAACGAGTTATGCTTTCCTGAATCAGCGAGAGCGAGCACCGGCTTGCAATGAACAAGGCTTTCCTTCTTGCTCTAAGCCAGATTCTCCGCGGCCGCTGGTTATGAACGAGTTATGATCTCCTGAGCCAGCGATAGCAAGGGCTCATTCGCAATGAACAAGGCTTTCCTTCTTGCTCTAAGCCAGATTCTCCGCGGCCGCTGGTTATGAACGAGTTATGATCTCCTGAGCCAGCGATAGCAAGGGCTCATTCGCAATGAACAAGGCCTTCCTTCTCGCGCTCGCTCGGATTCTCCATGGCGGCTCGCTTCCCCTGCACAACGCCGCGCGCAAGCGGAAGACGAAGCTTCCTGGACGTTGCTGCTCTCCACTCCGCGTGCTGCTGCTGCTCCTGGTGCTGACGGTTGTCAGCGTGGCTCTGCTGCTGCGATCGGTTCAGCTGCAACAGAAGAACGCGGAGGAGGTGAGAAGAGCTATTTTCTGTAGAAATCTATTAAGGGCATTCTGTCCGTGTGGCTCTGCTGCTGTGATCAGTTCAGCTGCAGCAGAAGAACGCGGAGGAGGTGAGGAAAGGTGGCTTCTGTAGAAATCTCGTAAGGGCTTTCTGTCAGCATGGAGCAGAATGCGAGTGTTTTTGCCGCTGACACTCATCAGCGTGGCTCTGCTGCTGCGCGTGGTTCAGCTGCAGCAAAAGAACGCGGAGGAGGTAAGGAGAGGCGTTTCCTATCAATTGTGCAGCTGACGACGGCTGGCAGTCAGCGTGGCTCCGCTGCCGCTGCAGTCGGTTCAGCTGCAGCAGAAGAACGCAGAGGGGGTGAGGAGCTGCTTCCCCTCATCCTTTTTCTTACCCCTTACTCCTTCCGCCTCCCCTCCTAATGCTTTCATGCGCCACTACCTCTTTCTGCCTCCCTCTGCCCCCCTCTTCTCACTTTCCTTACCCAGGCCGGCCCCAAGGGTTTCATCTGCTACAGTGGTTTCGTTTTTCAATGCATCACCACACTCCTCTGCAAACCCACCTCAAAACCCCACTCCCCCACACCCCCCCTCCTCTCTCTCTTTTCTGAACCCAGGCCGGTCCCAAGGGGTTCATCCGCTACAGTGCGTACCGCCTGGGCCGCAGCTCCTTCGCTGTGATTGGTCTGGGGGCGCTGCGCCTCCGCGCTCGCACGCGCTTCCCCGGGTGCTCGTGGCACGACAATGGGGCCGCTCCTGGTGAAGCGGGCATTCCGGGGAGCGTGGAGGTGTTTTATCCCGGGGAGCATCACGACTTGGAGTATGAAACGGTGGTGCTCAAGTGCTTTCTCAGGGCTGGCACTCATGCCACGCAAGGGGGCAAGCTGCTGCTGCAGGTGGGCTCGGTTGGGCTGGGTTGAGCTGGGTTCAGGTGGTTCTTAGGTTGAGTCACTTCAGGCACCTCAGGGAGCGTGGAGGTGTTTTATCCGGGGGAGCAACACGACTTGGAGTATGAAACGGTGGTGCTTTTTGAGGGCAGACACTCATACCACGCAAGGGGGCAAGCTGCTGCTGCAGGTGGGCTCGGTCGGGCTGGGTTGAGCTGGGTTGGGATGTTTTTTGGGTTGAGTCAGGCATTCGGGGGAGTGTGGAGGTGTTCTATCCGGGGGAGCATCACGACTTGGAGTATGAAACGGTGGTGCTTAAGTGCTTTCTCATAGCTGACACTCATGCCTCGCAAGGAAGAAAGCTGCTGCTGCAGGTGGGTTGGGCTGGACTGGGATGGGTTAGGTTGAGTTGGGTTGGGTTAGGTTGGGTTGGGTTGGGTGGGTTGGGTTAGGTTGGGCCAACATATTGCTGGTTTTCCTGGAGCCCCATTTCCCCTTAGAAGCATATCTGTGCCACTCGCCACAGCTTCTCCTCTCCCCTGCCCTGCCCTGCAATCACACCATCACACCATCACACCAGAACCAAGTGCAAGGCACGCATGTGTCGCGGGTCCTATCAGTCAACACACTGCAGCTTGTCGCCTAAGCTTCTTCCGTCTCCTTCCCTGCCCTCCCTTGCATTAACACCACACCACACCACACCACACCACACCACACCACACCACACCACACCACACCACACCACACCACACCAGGTGCAAGTGCAGGCCACCCAGGGGTCGCGGGTCCTATCAGTCAACACACAGCAGCTTGTCGCCTACCATGAGCCTCCCAACGCCTTCCCTGTCTCCCTGGAGCCGCATCCCCCTTATAAGCACCGCGTCGCGTTCTGCTCGCCGCCAGTACACTCGGAACTGGACGGGAGGAGGCTGTACGAGTGGCTGGAGTATCATTACCATCTGGGCGTGGATTACTCTATCATGTACGATGCAGGGGGGATCGACGATGAAGTCACTCAGGTGAGTCAAGTGGCACGGCAGTCTGGCTGTGGTAAGACGAGGTGACTTGGAACTCAGAACTGGATGGGAGGAGGCTGTATGAGTGGCTGGAGTACCATTACCATCTGGGTGTGGATTATTTGATCATGTAGGATGCAGGGGGAATTGACAACGAGGTCACTCAGGTGAGTCCCTGTTGATCTACCAGGTAAGCATACGCCTCCTTGGATGGGAGTGGTGTGGCATGGGCATGGCCGTGGTAAGAGAAGGCTGTACGAGTGGTTGGAGTATCATTACCATCTGGGAGTGGATTACTCAATCATGTACGATGCAGGGGGAATTGACGACCAAGTCACTCAGGTGAGACACCCTGGCTGGTTGGGGAAATGGCAGTGGTAAGAGGAGGCTGTATGAGTGGCTGGAGTACCATTACCATCTGGGTGTGGATTATTCGATCATGTATGATGCAGGGGGGATCGACGACCAAGTTACTCAGGTGAGCCCTGGCTCATGGTCACTCAGGTGAGCGCCTGCTGTTGAACTGCCACGTAATAAGTCGTATACCTCCTTGGATGGGAGTGGTGTGGCATGGCAGTGGTAAGATGAGGTGACTCGGAATTGGACGGGAGGAGGCTGTATGAGTGGCTGAAGTACCATTACCATCTGGGTGTGGATTATTCGATCACGTATGATGCAGGGGGGATCGACGACGAGGTTACTCAGGTGAGTGAGTCCTTGCTGATTGACCAGGTGACGAAGGTGAGGCTATGTGTCCTTGGGTGGTTGGGTGGGTATGGCATGGTGGCATGGTGTGGTGGCATGGCAGAGTGGCATTGGTAACATGAATTTCTGGTGAGCACCCATGTTTCCGTATGTGGGCATGGAGACGTCAGTTTTTAATCGACCAACAACTCATTCTCTCCCCTCCTTCCCCCCCACCTTCCTCCTTCCTTCTCCTCGTCGCTGTTCCTCTGGTAGGTGCTGATACCATACGAGCAGGAAGGGCTACTGGAGGTCAGAGATATAGGGGACTTTCTGGAGTACGAGACGTGGCTCTATGCCCAGGTGCGATTTCTTGAGTGTACGGATGGGGATGAGGGTGGGGTGGGGGTGATACCATACGAGCAGGAAGGGCTGCTGGAGGTCAGGGACATTGGTGACTTCTTGGAGTACGAGACGTGGCTCTATGCCCAAGTGTGATTTCTTGAGTGTACGGATGGGGGTGAGGGTGGGGTGGGGGTGATACCATACGAGCAGGAAGGGCTGCTGGAGGTCAGGGACATTGGTGACTCCTTGGAGTACGAGACGTGGCTCTATGCCCAAGTGCGATTTCTTGAGTGTACGGATGGGGGTGAGGGTGGGGGTGAGGGTGGGGGTGAGGCAGGTGCTGATACCATACGAGCAGGAAGGGCTGCTGGAGGTCAGAGACATAGAGGACTTTCTGGAGTACGAGACATGGCTCTATGCCCAGGTGCGATTTCTTGAGTGTACGGATGGGGGTGAGGGTGGGGGTGAGGGTGGGGGTGAGGCAGGTGCTGATACCATACGAGCAGGAAGGGCTGCTGGAGGTCAGAGACATAGAGGACTTTCTGGAGTACGAGACATGGCTCTATGCCCAGGTGCGATTTCTTGAGTGTACGGATGGGGGTGAGGGTGGGGGTGAGGGTGGGGGTGAGGCAGGTGCTGATACCATACGAGCAGGAAGGGCTGCTGGAGGTCAGAGACATAGAGGACTTTCTGGAGTACGAGACATGGCTCTATGCCCAGGTGCGATTTCTTGAGTGTACGGATGGGGGTGAGGGTGGGGGTGAGGGTGGGGGTGAGGCAGGTGCTGATACCATACGAGCAGGAAGGGCTGCTGGAGGTCAGAGACATAGAGGACTTTCTGGAGTACGAGACATGGCTCTATGCCCAGGTGCGATTTCTTGAGTGTACGGATGGGGGTGAGGGTAGGGGTGAGGGCTAAGTTGGTCATTTACGCCATTTCAGCCCACGTACACGTATCGTACGCGTACATGTACGTTTACGTGTACATACGCGTACGTACGTGTACGTACGCCAGGCAGGTAAAAAAAAAAGTTCCCCTAGAAAATTCTTTGAATACGGTTTCCGAAAACCTAAAAAAATAAAAAAGCTTTCGACGACCTGTGCTCTGTTAGTGTGTTAGTACGGCGCGACGTTTTTCAAAGTAGTAATGTAAGAAACAGGAAGGTTGCTAGCTAGGGTTGCTATTGTGTGGCGTCTACCCTACGTACTATGTCGACTAAGGTGGTAGAACTACGATAGCTAAGTCTGTCGAGAGAGGGAGGGAGGAAATTGTGGTGGGAGTAGATCTGAATGTGTACAAACTGTTCGCGATAGAACATTGCGAACAGTTTGACTCAGATCGCGATTGCTTCGCTTGCAAGTTAAGCGAATGTCACCCGCTCCGCAGCTTCGTCACCGCCGACCTTCACTGGTTTCGGCGAATCCCAACTTCGAGTCAAACCAATTCGCATGATGGTATTTTTGTTATTTGGGAAATTATGAGGTTGTAATGGAATGTTTACACTATATGATGGAAATCATGATTACGAGGGAGTACTATAGAAAAAATATACATATTCGGGCAGCCCAGAAACCTTTTCACCTGCCCGTACATTAGGCCTCCAACCCAACAGCCGCGTAAACGTACGTACCCGTACACGTACGTACGTAAACGTAAACGTAAATGACCAACTAAGGGTGAGGGTGGGGGTGTCCAATACGAGCAGGAAGGGCTGCTGGAGGTCAGAGACATAGGGGACTTTCTGGAGTACGAGACATGGCTCTATGCCCAGGTGCGTTCCCATGAGTGGGTGAGATTTTTGTCAAGACGTCTAAAAAATCGTCTAAGACGTTGCTTGCTCTATGCCCATCCCAGGTGCGTTCCCTTGAATTTGTGGGCGAGGGTAATGGTGGGGATGAGGGTGGGTTTGAGGGTGATTGTGGGGGTGAGGGTGAGGGTGAGGGTGAGGGTGAGGGTGAGGGTGAGGGTGAGGGTGAGGGTGAGGGTGAGGGTGAGGGTGTGAGGAGCTCATGACCATGTGCGCATGATATCTATCTAACTCTCCATGTCACGGCCCATCACAGGTGATGGTTGTGAACGACTGTTCATACAGCACGCGCCACTCAGCCAAGTGGACGCTCTTCTTCGACCTTGATGAGTTCTTCAACGCTGACGACCCGCCTCCGCCCCAAAAGGTATGCCCACGTGGCATGCTCCAGTGAGAGAACCCACTCAGCCAAATGGACACTCTTCTTCGACCTTGATGAGTTCTTCAACGCTGACGACCCGCCTCCGCCCCAAAAGGTATGCCCACGTGGCATGCTCCAGTGAGAGAACCCACTCAGCCAAATGGACACTCTTCTTCGACCTTGATGAGTTCTTCAACGCTGACGACCCGCCTCCGCCCCAAAAGGTACGCCCACGTGGCATGCTCCAGTGAGAGAACCCACTCAGCCAAATGGACACTCTTCTTCGACCTTGATGATTTCTTCAACGCTGACGATCCGCCTCCACCCCAAAAGGTACGCTCGCCCCAAAAGCTACCCATCCCCCCCCTCAAACGTGGGGACTACCCAGCCAAGTGGGCGCTCTTCTTCGATCTCGACGAGTTCTTCAACGCCGATGACCCGCCCCCGCCCCAAAAGGTACCTCCCCACTTGACATGCCTTGAGCCCCAACTCCCTTACCTGTAAGGCGGCTCGCCCTCCTCCAGTGGTCCGCGCTACTCAGCCAAATGGACACTCTTCTTCGACCTTGATGAGTTCTTCAACGCTGATGACCCGCCCCCGCCTCAAAAGGTACCCAGATAGCCCTCCCTGCCTCTCCTTAGCACGGATGACCCGCCCCCCTGCAAAAGGTACCCATGCCGCTCAAGGTACCCACCCTCGCCCCTACCACTCGCATCTGTGGCGGCGGCTGTGAGTGGTAACACGGTAACACCCACCCAATGCTCATGCATTGCCTTCTCTACCACCCTCTTCCGCTTATCAAATTTGAGGCCCACACCCGCGTGCTAGCGACACGGCTAGACGCCATGGAGCACTGGCATTGGCAGCTGCAGTGCCTGCAGTGGTGGCTGCAGCGATGGTACTCAATGCTCATTCACTCACTCCCTTCTACTTTCTCGTGGACCTCCCCAGGTGGAATCTCGTACACATGTTCTTGGCCACGCAGCTAGACGCCATGGAGCACTGGCACCGGCAGCTGTCGCGGCTGCACACAGCGATGGTGGTACCCACCGAATGCCCATACATACACCTTTCTACTCCTATGCTCCGCCCCCAATACCCCAGGTTGAAGCCCACACACATGTCTTGGCCACACAGTTAGATGCCGTGGAGCACTGGCACCGGCAGCTGTCGCGGCTGCAGTGGTGGCACGCACTGCCATATCCGGCCAATATCCGTCTCCCTTTGCTCCTGTGTTCCCCACATGCCCCAGGTGGAGGCCCACACCCACGTGCTGGCCACACAGCTAGACGCCATGGAGCACTGGCACAGGCAGCTGTCGCGGCTGCGAAAGCGATTCGCGCGCGAGAGAAGGATGGAACCGAGACCACAGAGGGAGATGGAGGAGGAAGAGGAGGAGAAGTGGGAGGGAAAGGAAGGGGAGAGGAGGCATGGGAAGGGAGGAAAAGAGGGAAAGGGGGGACAGGGAGGAAGGGGAGGAAGAGATGGGAGTGGGGAAAAGGGAGTTGGGAGGGGTTGGGATCGGTATACGGACGCAATGGATGCGAGGAGGTGGATTGATGGAGAGGGGGAGGATGAGGGGGATGAGGAAGTGGAGCTTGAAGGGGGGGAGGTAGGAGCAGGAGGAGGTTCAGGTGAAAACAACAGAGAAGCGTCAGCAGCAGCAGGAGCGGCAGGAGCGGCAGGAGCAGCAGCAGCAGCAGTGGCGCAGGCAGCAGGGCAAGGGCTGGCACACAGAACACGCATCTCCTTGGAGCAAAGGCGGGCAGCAGAGCAAGCAGAGGAGGCGAACAACCGGCAAAACGGCACGAGAATCGGAAAAGAAACTGCAAAGGCGCGGCAGCAGCGGGTGGCACGGCAGATGCGCGAGCAATACAGGAAGCTTCGGGCACGGAGAAAAGAGGATGAGGCGGAGGAAGAAAAGGAGAAGCTGCCTGGGGAGGAGGAGCAGCAGCGGCACCTGCAGCAGCAGGAGGCAGAGCAGCAGTCGCAGATGGAGGTGATTCGGGCGTACAGGGAGCATCTGAAGCGCACTGCGGGCGACCAGCGGCTCATTCCTCTGGTCCTGGAGTCGTATGACGGCGCGTCGTACCTGTCGCTTGGGACACTTTGGTGGGACACAGAGAGGTGAGTGAGGTGCACCCTGCCACATCGTGCCTCAACCCATACCTCGTTCAACAAGTCGTATGATGGGGCGTCGTACCTGTCGCTGGGCACCCTGTGGTGGGATACCGAGAGGTGAGACAGCCAGAATCTTGCCGTGTGGTGTGGGGGGTCCCCACGTGCCTCTTCGCATGCCTGCTTTCATGAGTCATATGATGGGCCATCATACCTGTCCCTTGGAACCCTGTGGTGGGGCACCCAGAGGTGAGTGAGGTGCACCCTGTGGTGGGACACCCAGAGGTGAGTGAGGTGCACCCTGTGGTGGGGCACCCAGAGGTGAGACAGTCGGAAATCTTGCCGTGTGGGGGGGCGCCACGTGCCTCTTCGCATGCCTGCTTTCATGAGTCATATGGTGGGGCATCGTACCTGTCACTGGGCACTCTGTGGTGGGACACTGAGCCGAGCGGATTGTGGTGGAGTGTTGTATGCCCCCAATCGCTTTGATAAGTCGTACCTCCTGTCCCTTGGAACCCTGTGGTGGGTCACTGAGAGGTGAGCGAGAGTGTTTTGCAGGGGCCGTCACATGCCTCTTCGAATGCCTCAGCACATGCCTCCTCGCGTGCCTCTTTTGCATAAGTCGTATGATGAGGTGTCGTACCTGTCCCTTGGGACCCTGTGATGGGACACTGAGAGGTGAGAGAGATGCCTACTGGAGAAGCTTGTTTGCAGTGTTTGCCACACCATGCCTCCCTCCATGCCTCCCTCCATCCCTCTTCCAAGTAGTCGTATGATGGCGCGTCGTACCTGTCCCTTGGTACTGTGTGGTGGGACACTGAGCTCTTCATGACCCGTCCCATGCCCCATCCCGTCCCATGCCTTCCATGCCCCTTCCTTTGCAACTCACCAGGTGCGTAGACCCATCAGAAGCCAAGGGCACATGGGGCATTCAGCGCATGTTCTACCACTGGCCGCACATCTACTGCCTCAAACCAGAACTCTTCCCCAGGTGTGTGTTTGACCGTGTCCCATGGGACTTTGAGTGAAGCACGTCAATGTGTGAGGGGTAGCAGGAGAGGCCAAAGAGAGGGAGTGGGGCATTCAGTGCATGTTCTACCACTGGCCGCACATCTACTGCCTCAAACCCGATCTCTTCCCCAGGTGGGCAATCTGAGTTGGGATTTTAATTAAGCAGGTGGAGCCACGACGGCACACCCTGTATCATGTGTGTGCTACTTCTGAGAATTTTCACAAGTAACATCAACATAGTGGGCAGTCTGAGTTGGGATTGTAATTAAGCAAGTGGGGCCATGAAGGCACACCCTGTATCATGTGTGTCACCGGCGTTATCTGATTGCTCCTTGTCTTCTCAAAGTAAGCACATGACGGATCACGACGCTGCAAATCCTCCGCCCAGTGCTCATCTATTTGTACGAATCGATCTCGACTCATAACACCTATACTTGCCCTTCCCCACCACTCTGAACTCCCCACACTCCCCATTAATCAGGTCTGAGATGTGCCTGGATTACTACGGGCACCGCAAATACGCCATCAACCCGCGGAAGGTCACGGCGCTGCAGATTCACCGCCCCGTGCTCAACGACTCGTACGGATTCGATCTCGACACCACTGCTGTCCCATTCTTTTGCACCCCCCTCCTCCAGCCCCCACCAGGGCCGATGCGTGCTTGGGCTGTAGGCCCATCTAGAGTCGAGTCCAAGCACCCATACTCCCTGTTTGACCTCCCTTGTGTAACCCCTCAACGACCAGGTCTGAGATGTGCTTGGATTACTACGGGCATCGCAAATACGCCATCAACCCGCGAAAGGTCACAGCACTGCAGATTCACCGCCCAGTGCTCAACGACTCGTACGGATTCGATCTCGACACCACTGTAGCAAAGCTCAACCACTTTCAGGGCTACGTGCAGCGAGTGAAACCTCTAAACGCGACTGTAGAGAGTGGGAATAGTAATGAGACGGCTAGTGTAGCGCAAGAACAGCAGCTGCCGGCGTTTTGCTCGCACATTATTCACATTGATGAGCCAATTATTTGGTGGGCGAGGGGGCAAGAGATAGGGGAAATTGCTGCTGAGGCTCAGAAGAATCCCCGTGTGCCATTGGAGCGTATCGAGAGAGCAGAGATGGAAAGTGAGATGGCTAGAGTAGAGGTGGGAGATACAGAATCATGAAAAATGAACGTTCTCTAGTACAGTACCAGTCTATTTAGTTAACTGGGGCCGAGGTGTCTACTCTGCCTGGACCGTTGCCAAGCGCATGCAGAATTTCTAACTAAACCCATATGTAAAAGCAACTATACATGACTACCCGCATCGCAGAGAGACATGCGAACACGTCCCCAAGAAACATACGGTAGTGTTCTTGTAAAAAACTACTTCAATGGGATAACTTTGCCTGACAACGGGTCAGTGACCAGATAGTTCTCAAGAGCAGCTGGAGACAACTATACAAGGGAAGGTACAAGCAAAAAATGATAGAACTAGGCCTAAGGTTGGTTGCTCAGCAAGCAACCCTTGATGTACTAAACACGTCCTCCCACCCATGCATATCACTTCAAAAAACGCCTCCCGCTCCAGGAGTTCCGGGAGTCCCTGTCCGGGCACTACTGTAAGCATTGAATCATTGGCAACCTATAATACGGTTATAGCTTTATCTAGCTTGCTCTCTACACCTTGCTCACTATAGCGCGTCACAGCTTACTGCGTTACAATGACGACCCGACTCACAACTTCCTGCGTTACAAGCACATCACACCCTGGTGCCAGACGGGATCAATATTTTGCTTACGCCATGCGCGACAAAATAAGGCCCAGCAAAAATCCTCGGAGTCAGAATCGTAGTCCATGTAGCTGCCAGCGCGTTTCTAGACTTCCCAAAAGACACTCTTGTTCCGTTTAACGGATTCATCTTATAAAGAGCCTGCTTCAATTGAGTACCCACGGCCTGCCCGGGCTTCAGGGCTTTGAACTGCGGCAGAAGCCGTTTTATACGTAAGATGTGGAAAGCGGTGATGTTGTAGATTTTGGGAATGTTGGCTGCCTTAAAGGGGAGCTTCTTAAGGAGGGCTTCAGCCTCGGTGTTAGTGGGGATGAGAATGGTCGCGTTGGCGAGCGCTGATAGGTCATACTTGGAATTCACTGGGAAATGGTGAGGGGGAATTGGGGGAGGGGTTGGGTGTAGTGGGGGAGGGAGACTGGAGTGGGGCTGGTATGGTGTGATGGAGAGTAAAGCGAACAAGCGGAAACAAAGCGCTAATATTTCAATACAAGAAATATTACTACACTCGCACTCGAGGACGATATCTCCTGAAGTGGAGAACCGCCGCTTTTCCAGGGTCATGCTCCGATATTAGAGCAGCACATGACTCTACTACACTTACGAGCGAGGCCAATGCAATTCTTGATCATGCTCGTGTAACTCGACAACCGCGGATATTTCTTAGGACGCGTCACAATTGCAACACCGGGGAGGGTCGGGACCGAACACCGAAAATGTGTGCGTCGCGTATGAAAAACAGGTTTCAATCTGCATGAGCAGTGTTAGGCTGTTTCTCTGAGCCAAGTGGGACACGACCGGATTTGCAAGTGGGCCATGCCAAGGGTGCACCCAGCTTCTAACGCAGGAGCCGTGCTTCGCTGGCGCGTCGTACAATTTCGCCTGGCTTGTGTTGTGACGATGTCATCCTGTTACCACATCGGAAGTGGCCGATGGTATGCGACGGCGATCGATCGTGGCTGGCACTGGTGGTGCGATTTCGCTTCCCTCGCTGCCAATCGCACGATCGATGTGGCATTTCGAGCCATACGATCTCGTCAATCTGTAAGTTCACGATCTTACATTGTGAACACCGAACCTACACAGTTTATCTTACATTGTAAGATAAGCGAAATCGGGATACAAGTTTTTTGCCAGTTGGCGAAGAGACTGTACATTGTGAACACCGAACCTACACAGGATCAGTGTTGCAATTGTGACGCGTCCAAGTTAGCACCCTTGCAGGATAAGGACAACCCCGCTTTAATACATCGCCAGAATTGTAACTACACTTACGGGGAGTCCGATATATTTCTTGATGGTGCTCGTGTAACTTAGGGTCGTGGGTATCTCTAGGGCGCATCCGATGATAAGTGACGCGTTACTCTGTTAGTAAACCGACAGAACTAAAGCCACTTACACGCGAGGCCAATATATTTTTTGACCGTCTTGGTGTAACTCGAGTACTGTGGGTGTTTCTTCGCCACGCTGTCCGCCAGCCTCCCCAGTTCCGCCTTCATCTGCGCCTTTGTCGGACGCGCAACTGCCGCCTCCGCAACACGCGGCGCGAAGGGCGCAAGACAGAGGAGAGCTGCGAGAGCCGCGACGATCAAAACCCGTCTTTCCATGAGTGCGAAACGGAGTTAATCGTGTCGACGGTGCGGAATACTTATTTTTTCCTCCAGCTGCGAACTATGACTGCTGCTTACAGCGAGTAATGGATCCAACCGTGGGAGCAGGCAGAAAGTATCGAAAAACCAGGACGGAGTGAAGTGCATTTTTGTTTTGAAAGGTCCGAACGGAGTAAAGATTGAAAACTCGTTCCGACTACAGACGACATCTGCAGGCTGTCTCGTTTACAGTGGAACGCAAGATCAATGTTCAGCGCGCCGCACTGCCATTGTTCTGCGCTGCGCTGTTGCGCTGCTGCCTAAGCTTTCACTGGTGGCGAGGCGAGGCGACTAGCAAGAACTTCGTCGCTCCCAGCGCCGAGCAACACCAGCAGTGAGCAACGCTCGCGTTGTGTTGCACGAGAAAGAACTCCCTGGTTCGAGTCGCCATTCTACAGTACGCGACGTTACAGGCGGCCAGCAAGGGTCGGGCGGGCAGTGTTGCGGAAGATCAGTCCGAGCTCGACCGAGTCTTGTTTTTCTTTGTGAAGATGGGGAGGGCAGGTGTTGGGGAGGCATGGCATGTTGTTGGTGTCTTGCCCTCCACCCATTCCAAATGGGATGGATTCAGCTGGTTGGTCAGCGGAGCTGTTTCTGCTCCGGCCAACATGGCGGCAGAAGGGGGAGCATTGACGGCTGTGCTACCACTGACATGGGAGGGGCTTGTTTTTGGTCAATCGAAGTTCACCCTAAACAAGTTTACTAAAGAATGCGCTTGTTCACCCTTAGAATGGCATGGCAACCAAATGCTAGGGACCTGCAACAAGTTACAGAAGGAAATGATAAGATGTTCGGCTGCTTGAGGCATTTTCGACAAGCTGCCCGCCGACAAATGTGCGGTGCCCGTCGAAGTGCTGGCTCGGCTGAACAACGAGGACAATTATTCAAGCGGCGGCGAAACGTGGCGAGACTCGCGACGACGAAGTTACAATGTCGTGGACGTCTTCCGTGACTATTGAGGCTTGGTTCAATGACTAATGGAGACTGAATTCACCTACGATATTGAGGGATGGATTCCTTTCTATAAAACCATATTATATAGAACAGTAAGTATGAAGAGAGTAACAATTAGGAAATGTAGGACAGCAGCTACCACGCCATCCTAGGAGCTAATGGAAGAAATCTTCCATAATCATCAACTCTAAGCTCTCAGGTGTATGCATGTAGTGTTTGGATGTGATTAAATCATCCCTGCAAAATGGGAGGGAGGGAGTGTAGGTGCATAATTTGTTTACGACACACAACAGCTTGGTGCATAATTTGTTCACGACACACAACAGCTTGTTTATCTCATTGAAAACCTTCACACGCACGTATCTGGAACGTGGGTGCGTCGACCTAGAAGGACGTCAACCTAGCACGCTAACTCACAGTGCTTACAAAAGATACACAAATGCTGGAGAAGCTCGTTGAAACAAGCAACCTAGCATGACATGCTCTCACAAGCACACATGTACCAGCATGGCTGCAGAAGTTTATTGAGGCAAGCAGCCCAGGGCGTGCCGCAACGCTATTACTAGCACACAGCAGCAGAGCATCAACCGCAGGTAAAACCAAAGCGCACCAATGTGGCTGCCGCAGTTGATATGAGTGATTGAAGTCAGAACACCACGTACCAGCGTGGCTGCAGCAGCTTGCGGTATCGGTCCTTGAGGCAAGCAGCCCATGCAGTGCAGACTCGCAGTCGCAGCGCAGCATCGGGGATGGCCCACCGTTTTTGAGCCTCCACCAGATCGTCCATCGCCCTGTTGAACGCCCTCAGCCTGCCATGCATGGCATTGCATGGAAATGGGTGAAGAGCGGTACGGAGTGATGAGACGTGGTGAGATACTATGGCCCACCGTTTCTGCACCTCCACCAGCTCCTCCATCGACCTGTTGAACGCCCTCAGCCTGCCATGGGGGAGGAAATGTTGTGGCATGGGGTGGTGATGCGTAGACAGCAGTGGCAGTGCAGTGCCGGGGATGGCCCACCGTTTCTGCGCCTCCATCAGCTCCTCCATCGCCCTGTTGAACGCCCTCAGCCTGCCATACATGGCGTGGAAATGGGTTGATAGTGGTGCGGAGTGGTGAGACGCAGTGAGATACTATGGCCCACAGCTTTTTTGCCTCCACCAGCTCCTCCATGGCCCTGTTGAACGACCTCAGCCTGCCATGCATCATGGCATGTGCGATGGCATGCGTGATGTCATGGGTGATGGCATGTGTAATGCCTTACCATGTGTCATGCCATGCCATGCGTGATGGCATGTGCAGCGGCATGGCATTTGAGTCGACATGGCATGCGTGCAACTGACTTGGGAGACGGGACATGCACATACACAAGGACCGAATCACGCACCATGCTGCAGGGAGTTTTTGAGAGTTCTCAAAACCTCCCTGATTTGGGAGACGGGACATGCTCACAAACAAGGACCGAATCACACACCAGGCTCTCACCTGAGCACCTTGCTCATGGCCAGCACCTCCTGATGACCCCATCCGCATGGGAGAAGGACCAGAGGAATGCGAGCCAGTCCCTTGGAATAGAAAATGCCCTAGTGGGATGGGACAATGGGTGCAAGTGAGCAAACCCACCTGCACACCAGGCTCTCACCTGAGCACCTCGCTCAAGGCCAGCACCTCCTGATCGCCCCAAGTTGAGTGGGAGAAGGGCTACAGGGACTAACGCCTTATGAGCGAAAATGTCTTGTGGGATGAGACAATAACGGCAAGTGAGGGAAACGAGTCACATGCTAAGCCCTTACACCATGCTCTCACCTGAGCAGCTCGCTCATGGCCAGCACCTCGTGATCGCCCCCATCCGAGTGGGAGAAAGGCCAGAGGGACGAGGCAGGTTTGGTGCACTCCGGGACGAAGTCCAGGGGCCGAGGGCGGTCTGACATGGCTGCTATTACCTGGAGAAGAGATAGTTAGGAAGAGAGCGGGGGAGGAAGGGAGAGAATAGGAGAGGAAGGGGGTGATGCAAGCTTGGTGCACTCCGGGACGAAGTCAAGGGGCCGAGGCTGGTCTGACATGGCTGCTATTACCTGAAGAAGAGATAGGGTGGTGGAAGCAGGGTGGGGAAGGGAGTGAAATGGAGTGAAAGGAAGGAAAAGGGAGTGAAAGGGAGGGAAAGGGAGTGAAAGGGAGGGAAAGGGAGTGAAAGGGAGTGAAAGGGAGCGAAAGGGAGTGAAAGGGAGTGAAAGGGAGTGAAAGGGAGTGAAAGGGAGCGAAAGGGAGGGAAAGGGAGTGTAATGGAGGGGAAGGGAGGGGAAGGGGATGAAAGAAGTCAGCTTGGGATTGGTGCATGCAGATGAGAGCGCTCTGACATGGCTGCTATTTGCCTAGAGAAGAGAAAGGAAGGGAGAGGAAGAGAGGGGAAGGTGATGGAATCAGCTTGGTGGATGCTGATTTTTGAGAATTCTAAAAGACCAGCTCGGAAGGTGATGGATTGGGCTTGGCAGATGCTGGACTGGAAGGAAGTGAAGTGGGACGGGTATGGTCTGACATGGCTGCCGCTACCTGGAGGGCAAAAACGGGGACTTTAAGTTTTGGAGTTTAAAGAGGAGGACAGGAGAATATGGGTGGAGTTTTTGAGTGCAGACCCACCTTGCTGAGAGCGGAGGTCTTACAGGCAGCTACATGCTTCTGGACGAAAGGAGCGCAACCTTCGCAAGCCGTGCCTGAATATAAGTGGCGGGAGCGAGTGACACACCTTGCTGAGAGCGCAGGTCTGGAAGGCAGCCACGTGCTTCTGAAGGGTGCTCCCATCGATGAACGTAGAGAGGGCTAGAGCCAGGTCCAACCTGCCGTTCCTGTGGTGAATGTGATTGTAGAGACATTCTCATGCTTAATACCATTGTTTGACAAATGAATGCACACAGCACGAGGCAAATGCACCAAATACTCTTAACTACTTGGCATGAGGCATGAGGCATGAGGCATGAGGCATGAGGCATGAAGCAAGCATTCCCACCATCCCCACCATTCCCACCATCCCCACCATCCCCACCATTCCCACCATTCCCACCATTCCCACCATTCCCACCATTCCCACCATTCCCACCATTCCCACCATTCCCACCATTCCCACCATTCCCACCATTCCCACCATTCCCACCATTCCCACCATTCCCACCATCCCCACCATTCCCACCATTCCCACCATTCCCACCATTCCCACCATTCCCACCATTCCCACCATCCCCACCATTCCCACCATTCCCACCATTCCCACCATTCCCACCATTCCCACCATCCCCACCATCCCCACCATTCCCACCATTCCCACCATTCCCACCATTCCCACTTCCACACTTTTCACTCGCTGCTGCTGCAGAATCACCATCACCATCATCAGCTGTACCAGCACCAGCAATACCATCACCAGCAGCAGCAGAGGCGCCAACAGCAGGACCACCAAAGGCAGCACTCGTGGCCTCCACAGATTCAGAACAAGCTGCACTAGAAGGACGTGGCATGCCATTGCCAGCTGGACTGCCAGCTGGACAGCGAGCAGGGCTGGTGTGGGCTGGACTGGTGTGGCCTGGGCTACAGCCGGAGGAGCTGCGAGGGCTACAGCTGGGGTCGTCGGTATGTGAAGCAGAGGAAGATTCCAGAAAGGCGATGCGGAACAGGACCTCGAGGCGCTCTGGAGTGAACCTTGCTGCCGCTCGTGCACTGTGGGGGGGCGGGGGGGGAAGGAATGTGGAAATTTGGGGTGAGCCTATTTTTGAGTCGACTCAAAAACCTTGCTGCGGCTCGTGCACTGCGGGGAGGAGGGGGGGGGGGGGGGGAAAGGAATGTGAAAATTTGGGGTGCGGGGGAGTCTAGTTTTGAGGCGCCTAAAAAATGAACCTTGCTGCGGCTCGTGCACTGCGGGGGAGGTGGGGGGGAAGGAATGTGGAAATTTGGGGTGAGGGGGAGGGTGACGTGACGAGGGAGAGGAGGAACTGGGCTTTGGGGAGAAAGAGGGGATATATCATATATGCCCCACAGCGTACGAGACTTACCACAGCTCCTTTGCTGAAAGGGATGGGGAAAAGGACGGGGCTCGGGAGGGAGATAGGCCGACGAAGAGAAGGAGGGGGGATGAGGGATCGGGGAGAGGGGAGGGATAGGACCCCGGGGTTAGTAGTGAACAACACAGATGGGTAAATGAGAAGGTAGTACCGTATTAGGATACACCTGTACCACATACATAGGCTTGAAGCTCAAGTCGTCCACCACCGTGTGCGGCAGCGAGTCCGTCTGCTTACACCAATACTAGCAGCATTGTTCTCTTGTCCAGCGGTTATGGATGTATGTACTCTGTCAAGTGTGCTGCATCACCCAACTGTATCGGGCGTGTCATGGCACCCACCTGTACCGCATCACACACCTGTACCGCATCACACACCTATACCGCATCACACACCTGTACCGCAGCACCCACCTGTACCGCATCACCCACCTGTACTACCGCATCACCCATCTGTACTACCGCATCACCCACCTACTGCATCACCCACCTGTACTGCATCACCCACCTGTACCGCATCACCCACCTGTACCGCTGCAGCAGGTTCTGGAGCTCGAAGCTCAAGTCGTCCACCACCGTCCGCTGCAGCGAGTCCGCCTGGTGCTGCAGCTCCCGCCACTCTGACACAGCAGATACAGCCCCAGTCACGGGATCAGTAGTAGCAACAGCAGCGGCAGCAGCAGCAGCAGCAGCAGCAGCAGCAGCAGCAGCAGGGGAAGCAGAAGGTGAAGCAGCGGGTGAAGCAGCAGGGGCACCAAGCGCGTGGCTGACACGGGTGGCACGTCATCCAGCAGGCTCGCTGATGCCAGATAATCCTGCAGCTCGTCGCCTGCTCCTGAAGCAATGCCTGCTTCTGCCTGTACAGTAACAGAAACTATATAAATCGTTATAAAGATTTTTTTTGCAGCATAGGAATGTACATGACATTCGATTGCACAGTCGAGGCGGGGTTATGTAGTAGCAGCTTCGTTCCAGGAATGGGAGAGCTTAATCTGGGCCATTTTTTAGATTTCTCGAAGGCGGGATAATGTAGGAGCAGATTCGTTTCAGGAACAGGAGCAGGAAGACTAATGAGTAGATGATGCAGGAAGCCTAGCAATTTAGTATGAATTGGTAAAAAAAAAAAAGAAAAAAAAGAAAAAAGGGTGTTGTGATAGCTGCTTGCCGGCCACTTGCTAGCTAAAGCATTTACTTCGGAAGGAATGTCGTTTCAAAACTCGCACCTGTGGCTACTGAATGCTAGTGAACAAGTGAACGCTCGCACAAGGGCCCTTGCTGTCGTAGGGCTCTCTTTGTGGACAGCTCCTCTGCCATTTCAGTGGCAGGTGGCATGGGGCTCAAGGGGAGCCTCAAGCACATGGAGCGTCGTCACATGTGGCTGCAGCACATGGTCAAGCGCAGGAAGCTGCAGCTGCAGTACATCCCTACGAGCGAGCAGCCTGCCGACTACCTCACGAAGGCATTGCATTTCCCCGCCTTCAGTCGTTGCTTCGAGGCTGTGGGGCAGGTGAGGCTCTCGAGCGAGGGGAGTGAGACCTAGACACTCCATGATGTGGATGGTGCCATGGCCTATCCATGGCTGGTGCGGTGCGTGTTTGCACTTTGAGAGTGCTTCGTTTGTGTGTGTTTCCCTTTGTTTTGGCGTGTATGCGTGTATGCATGCCCTGTGATTATAAAGGGCCTTGCTGTAGTATGGCAGGGGAGTGTTAGAGGGCCCTACGACAGCAAGGGCCCTCGACGACCGTTTGACTTGGCAGGTCGACTATGAAAGACCAAGACGAGCAGTCCAGCACCGACCCTATGATATGGCGATGGTTGCGTAGTGACGCGATGTGACAACGGCAGCACTAAACAGTCATTGCTGGGGTGGTGTTAGTCTAGGGAAATCGTGGGCATGCTTCTTGGGTGGTCTTGGTGGTTGTGGGTGATTCTCTGTCGCCATTTCTAGTTGTGCTGGGAGAATTGGCGAGCTCGGCATTGACTTCCCTGCTGAGTTGGGTTGGGGAGTTGACGAGGCGCGTTCGCTCACCCACACACCACTTTCGTGGGGTTGGGTTACTGCGCAGTGCCACGCCAACTTTGTGAAACCTTCCCGTAGCCTATATCTAGTTGTGTGTTTTTTTGTATTCATAGTTGATATTGCAATTCTACTTGGCCCAAATGCTACTTCAATCCTCACTAAGTCCTTAGAGGCAAACTCTACCGAAACTCTACCAAGTTGCTGACGCAACATCATTCTCATAGCAGAAACTCTCTCGTTATCGCTACGCTCTCTAATATATTCCTTCATGAACGCCGTTGTATTTCTTACTTGACGTAGCATTCTCCGGCATAGCTCTGACGTCCAACCCAAGGTTTCGCCTGCAGGGACCTGGCGAGAGCCATTTTTGTCGTTACTTGTGACACTGCGTTTGGCAGTCGCAGTCGCAGTCGCACGGCCACGTCGCACGCCACGGTCAGCCATTGCGACAGAAATTCAGAGAAGTATTGCTAGGTTGGCTTGTGCTCCCGCTGCTCGCATCTTGTATGAGCTTCAGGAACACCTAGTACAGACTACATTCAGAAATAGACGCGGAAAGTGTACGCAAGAGCACTTAACAAAGGCTTTAAGAAGCTAGAAAAATGCTACGGTGACGAAGTAAATGATTGGAACGCCAGAACCAGCCTGATGAGGAAAGACAGCAAAACAGAAAATGGCGGTGCCAAGCGAATTCCTAGTTCAAATGGGACGAGTCAAGAGAGTTGAGAATTGGCAGTGCAGTACAGAACCTTGTGGGATTGCTGAGCCAAGTTGAGGTGAAGTCAAAGGGTTTCCAGCATAAAGGTTTACACCTCATTCTTCGTGGCTCAGAGCGTTTACACAGGGTGGACAGCGGTTGTTAAGCTTTACCATACTGCACCGTGACGCAAACATTAGAACACATCAGTCCTCACAGAGGCACATCCCTTGACTTCAGTCGGCACTTTCAAGGCCCCCACACTGGCAACTCGGACCAGGCCAGCAAGCAAGTGTTAGCGAAAATAGCTACAAAGTATGATGAAAAATTATAGCACCTTATCTTTCAAAATAATCCATTATGAACTTTACTGTGCCTTATTCAGAATGAGCTGGGCATGCATAATATCAAAATAGATCTCCCTATCTTGTTTGAATGCATCGTGTTCAAGGACTGAAATTGGATTGGTGAGGCCGTATAGAAAGATTGGTGCACATATGTAAGTGAAATCTGTACATGCATCACTTCATCCCAGCATATAGCACAATGCGAATTGTCAAGCCGACTCGTCCAACTTTCACCATTCCCGCCTCTGTCCTGCCTAGGCGATGACAAGTGAGTGGATGGATGGATGGATGTCAATGAATGATCAGGGCGGGTTACGCATCACAATTTTGGGAAATCACACAAAAATTTCGAAAATACCCACAGTTCGGAAAACAAACACCAAATCGTGCGATTTCATGAGCAGTGTCCATTTGGTGCTCGGAAAGGACACCCTTCGCGGAAACGAAACGGGTGCAGAGGACAAATTATTATGCACGACAAGGCTGTTGCCATGAAGGGTAACCAGGAAATGTTGATACCACAGAGACTGGTTATATTTTGAGGGGAAGCGCTTGCGAAGTATCTCATGTCGTTAATATTCGTACATGTCAACTGGCGAGGGTGTAGCGGCTTCGGCAGTGGAACAATGCGAAATCATAACAGTTTTTAACGTGAAGTTACTGTGGTGTCGCATGTTCCTGCGAGTTCTTGTCCAGCGAACTCTCAAATCATGATACATTCGGTTCAACTTTTGATGCGGTTACCCTGCAAAAATTGGTTACATCGTCCCGAATCGACCTGACCTGTGGTAGGTATGACCCGCCCTCAGCCTCCACTCCCAGGAAAATCGTCTTCCGAGGGGCTTGTTCACAGCGGAAGTTCATCCCGAAAGTCTGCAATTGTCGTGTGGCATTCAACCAGAAAAACACCGAAGTGCTCTCTGAAAATGTACGGGTGGCTCCATCATCGTTTTCGAAGGTGTCGGAAGCGAAGTGTCTATCTGAAGGACACCGCAGCCTGTTCACGCCCTCTAGTTTCCGAGAGTGGTTCTTCTAACTGCTGGCTGACACGCATTCCAGATTCTAACTCTTCCCACGTACCGAGTGTAGTTACCTCCACATCAAACCATGTTGTTTGTCGGACTAAAACTTCTTCAAAGTTCAGCCGTCCTGTGGTTCTAATGTGCTTCCTCCTAGTGCCAGAGCCTGGAGTGCCGTACTCCCACCTAACTCGTCAGCACACCTGTATGTTTATTGTGCAACGACGGCTTGTTTAGACCGCGTCAGATATCTAAGCATATCCTGATCTCTAGCCGTCGCGCAAGCAGAGCAACAAGGACACCGTTGTCAGGCCATTTCAACGCTGGAACTGGCTGAATTCAGTTATTCGTTTCCAAGATCTATCAGAGCTCTTAGGGTGTAGTTTTCGAAGCCGTAGAGGTAGCGTTTGTAGAGCCGCCAGTGGTGGTGAAATTTGGCTGATTCGTTGCTCAGCCAGTCGTCAGCCATTGGTTACCAAGCGCTGTCGTCGCTGGTGTTCGTCTGTTGCCTCTCAAAGCTTCGCAGCCCGTGATTTCAGGCGTCACTCACAAGGGTGGTGCCTGACGGCGTTTTTGGAGACGCCTCAAGAACTGGCTGAATTGGGTTGCTGAGATCCACGAGGCGCGATGGGGCCGTCAGCCATGCAAGCTCATCTTCACGGCGTCGCGCTTCCTCGCGCGTCGTTACCCGCATCCGTGCACTCGCTCAGTCCAGCCCAGATCGATCCCAGGATCGGTCCAGCCTCAGCTTCGCCCGGTGCGACCCTGCGGTCGCCTGGCGACGGGGCGTCGGCGTCGCAACGTGATTTCGAGATGCGAGAGCTGTTTCGAGAGTACTCGAGTAAGGTTTACCGGCTTTTACCAAAACCCTTGCGCGAGTTGCTTCTTCTCGTCTCCAAATCCGCTAACGTTCGGTTTGCCAGCTTGAGATGCCACGTACTTCATCCTTCCACTCGCCGACCCTGTCTGCCAAACCTATTCAATGTCCGTATTCCCCCGTGTCTGGTCCGTTGTGGTGGCTCTCCGTTCTGTGATGACCTCGTTCTTATGTACTGCGTTTCCACCTCGTCTCCTCGTCCGTTCAGGCATCTTGGCGTCAAGTGACACAGCAGCAGCCATCAAGGCGAGACTTGCAGCAATCTCGGTGTATGCAACCAGTCTCTATGCCATTTCTATGCCTCATAAGAGCCCCGCTTTTGTTTCCTCGTCCACTTTTCCGCCTTACCCCTCATCATCCCCTCCGGTCAGGCGCAGTGGCGTCAAGCGACACGGCAACAGCTATCAAGGCAAGGCTCACAGCCATCTCGGCGTATGCAAGCTCTCTAGGGCTCACAGGGTGCGTTGCCACCTGCCTGCCCTGCCAACCACCATCCATCACGCGTTTGTTCTGTGTAAAATGAATCCAGTTTTTCAGTTGCCTGCCTTCATGCATCATTCTTTACTTGCTAGACTAGACTGCATTGCTCCTCGTGCATGTTGTAACGATATTAACTTTTGAGTCGACTAAAAAAAGCCACTTTTCTTCACTTGTCTGCCTGCATGCATCATTCCTTTCTCGCTAGACTGCATCGTTCCTCCTACATGTTGCAGCGATATTGCTCATTTCAGTCGACTGATAAGGCACTTCATGGGGTTTCTGTACTAGTTTTGAGGCGCCTCAAAACTATGTTGCAGCAATATTGCTCATTTCAGTCGACTGATAAGGCACTTCATGGGGTTTCTGTACTTCACTTTATATTGTGTAGATCATTCCTTGAGCAAGTTGCATTACCCCCCCACCCCCAAAATATTACATGCGTTGTTTGAAGGTTCGTCTCTGCAAGCCTTGTGAAGGTTCATCGGCTGTTTTCTCTTCCTTATCCCCCTTTCCTTCCCTTCCCTCTCTAATACAAAATGTGTGTCAATCAACCCTCCTCTCGCCCCCCCTCCCGCCTCCTCTCCTTCACTCCCCTTCCCGCTCCTCCCCTGCCCTCACCCTGTCCGCTTGGCCGTGACATCAAATCAGCCCACTCCCTCCCCTCTCCTCTCCTCCCCTTTCTGCCCCCATCCCCCCATCCCGCTCCCCCACCTCCCTTTCCTTTCATATGTCCACCCGTTTCCCTTCCCGTGGCTATGTCCGCAGGGCTATGGCCCTTTCCAGTCTCCGCAGATTGCGTCAGTCACTTAGTGAACAGGTTGGTGAGCAATTGAGGGGTATTTAAACGAAACGTTTCTTGCTCTAGAATGCCGTGCTATGATGAGAGGCCGGGTGCATGTGCTATGGTGAGAGGACGAATTTCGAAATTTCGAGTGAATGTAAGACGAATTTCGAGCGTGAACACCACTTGGTGGCCATGACTTTTCGTGGCAGCGACATCCAGGCCTAATGTGTCTGGCTTTCTGATTGGTAGACCTTTTCTCACTACTTCCCTCGCCTTTCATATTAGTAGACTAGTGCTATAGATTGTTACTCTTAGCAGGCTTGCTGCGTTTCGAACCCAACGAATTTCAACTATGATGAGAGGTCGAGTGAATGTAAGACGAATTTCGAGCGTGAACACCACTTGGTGGCCATGACTTTTCGTGGCAGCGACCTTTCCAAAAGGTTGTGCATTGCAGTGAGCTGTTTTGAGACGTCTCAAAACACTTCTTCAATGTTGTGCAGTACAGTGTGACCTGCAAGCTAAATTGCTTGGTGATGGGAGATTAGCCACGTGATTGAAGAAGTGTTTTGAGACGTCTCAAAACACTTCTGCAAGCTAAATTGCTTGGTGATGGGAGATTTGTCAACTGCCGTATCTTTATTCTCAGTGGCTCTTCTCTGTCTCTCCTCTCCCCCTCCCCTCCCTCGCGTCTCTTGTCTATTCTAGCTCAATCCACTCGGCGGGAGAACATTTCGTGTGTTCTACAAATTTGTCTTCTTCCTGAGCCGGGAGCAAGGGCAGAAAGGCGTGGGTGAGTTGTGGTTACTGTAACAAGGTGGGAAACCCCACTCAATCACCATCTCTCACTTCTTCTACGTGTATTGAAGTCCACCTTGCTGATTCACGAGTTTTGAGACGTCTCAAAACAATCACCATCTCTCACTTCTTCTATGTGTATTATTGAAGTCTAGTCTACCTTGCTGATTTGCGCTGGCAGCAACCTTTATCTTAGTGAATTCCTGGTGACATTTTGAAAGAAAAAAAAGGCGCCTCACCCATTGTAAGAACCCCTTATCCACCCCCCCTTTCATCGTCCAGACGTAGCAACAGCTGTTGAGGCATGGAGGTTCGCCTTAGCAGGGGTCTTCCCTCTTGTGGATTCCTGGTGCGACTTTGTGCCGGTACGCCCTATCCCCTTCACCTGCCCCTTCACCTGCCCCTTCGCCCGCCCCATCACCTGCCCGTTCAACCTGCCCCCCTCACCTGCCCCCCTCTCCTTCCCCCCTCACCTGCCCCCCTCACCTGCCCCCCTCTCCTTCCCCCCTCACCTGCCCCCCTCACCTGCCCCCCTCACCCGCCCCTTCAACCTGCCCCCTTTCAGCTATCCCCTTCAATGCTTGTTCTCCTCGGCACCCCTTTCCTCTCACCTCTCACAGCCCTCTCCTCCCATTCCTGCCTCCCCCCCTTCAGCCGCATCAGTGGTATGCTGTATCAGAGAGGTCACGTGCCAGCAAGTGCTGGACTTTATTCTCCCCTTCAGCTGTCTCAACCCTGTCATCTCACCCTCTCGTCTTCATCGTCTCTCTTCCCTCCCGGCCTTCACCCACCCCTCTGTGTCACAGCTGCATCAGCGGTATGCAGTATCAGAAGACACGTGGCAGCAGGTGCTGGACTTCAGCTGCACGATTGGCGCTGACCTCAGCATGTATGACTCGGATGGTAAGCTGATGTCAGCACGGTTTCCTTGTATTTCGATTGTGCTACAGCTTCGACTGTGCGACAGCTTCTAGTGTGCTACAGCTTCGACTGTGCTACAGCTTCTACTGTGCTACAGCTTCTACTGTGCTACAGCTTCGACTGTGCTACAGCTGCTGTTTCCAAACCCTAAAATTTGTGGCCGCTTCTCATTACTTTCCTCAGTATCCCCCGCCCTCTTTTCTCCCTCCCTTATCTCCCCTCTTCATCTCCGTTTCCTCACTCTCTCATCTCATGTCATGGCAGGGGCGTGGCCTGTGCTGATCGATGAGTTTGTGGAATGCTATTCCAGGTATGGTGGGGTGGGGTATGGTGGGGTATGGCGGGGTATGGTGTGGTGTGGCAGGGGTTTGGCCGGTGCTGATCGATGAGTTTGTGGAATGCTACTCCAGGTATGCTGGGGTGTGGTAAGGTCTGGTGAGGTATGGTGCAGTGTTGTGAGGTATGAGGAGGTACGGGGAGGGAGGCATGGTGATGAAGGGGAGATGTTTGTGAGGCGTGATGATGAGACAAAGGGGGGGGGCACCATTGTTCTTAACAATCCATCCAATGGCTTTAAGTTCACGATTTTTGCTTCTAAACGGTCTCAAACGCTAATTCATAATGATCATAGTCATACAGGAGGGAGCAAATACATGTGTTCCTCTCCTGAGACAACACAATGAGGAAAAAGACTCACCTCATCGCATCCATCACTTCCATCACCCTCTCTCTCTCTCTCTCTCTCTCTCACGCGAATCTCAACAGGAGGGAGCATCTTGGCTTGTCTTGTGATGTGTGTGGCCGTCGGCCGTCGGTGCTCCTGCGTTCCCCCTCGTCCCATGCGTTTCGACAGCACAACACGGGCAGCAACAGCAGCCTCAGGTATGGCTTATGGTCTGTCTGTGTGTGTGCCTAGGTTGCACCAGCAGCAGGAGGTGGGGTATGCAGACAATTAGCCCTCGGTGCTGCTGCGCTCGCCCTCGTCCCATGCATTCCGCCAGCACAACATGGGCGGCAACAGCAGCTTCAGGTATGGCTTATGGTCTGTGTGTGTGTGTGTGTGTTGTATGCACTAGGTGCGTTACATGAATGTCCCCTCTCTCTTCCCATGCACCCCGCCAGCACAACTTTTGAGGCGCCTAAAAAATGTCCCCTCTCTCTTCCCATGCACCCCGCCAGCACAACTTTTGAGGCGCCTCAAAAATGTCCCCTCTCTCTTCCCATGCACCCCGCCAGCACAACTTTTGAGGCGCCTCAAAAATGTCCCCTCTCTCTTCCCATGCACCCCGCCAGCACAACTTTTGAGGCGCCTCAAAAATGTCCCCTCTCTCTTCCCATGCACCCCGCCAGCACAACTTTTGAGGCGCCTAAAAAATGTCCCCTCTCTCTTCCCATGCACCCCGCCAGCACAACTTAGTAAGCAGCAGCAGCCTCAAGGTTTGCCTTCCTCAGATGTTACCTGCAGTAGGTCAGGTATTTCCCGTCCACCCTCTCACCCTCCCATCCTTCCACACTTCCACCTCCCACCCCTTCCCCCCCCCCTTCCCCTCCTACCTCCCAGCCTCCCTTCTCTCGTATGCTTTGTTTTCCCCTGCCCTCTCCTTTGCTCGTCCCTTCCCTCAACTCGCTCCTCCTCCCGTCAGCTCTTTCAATGAGGCCCGGTGGTTAACCACCAGCGGAGGTTTCACTACAGCCATTGCTATACCGTCGTCGTACCTGCTCTCTCACACGTTTCTTCTTCCCCTGCTCTCCTCCCTGTCAGCTCATTCAACGAAGCCTGGTGGTTAGCCACCAACAGCGGTGCCACCAACAGCGGTGCCATGCCACCACAGCCACTGCTAAACCATGTTGACTTTTGAGTCGACTCAAAAGCCACCAACAGCGGTGCCACCAACAGCGGTGCCACCAACAGCGGTGCCACCAACAGCGGTGCCACCAACAGCGGTGCCATGCCACCACCAGCGGTGCCACCAACAGCGGTGCCACCAACAGCGGTGCCACCAACAGCGGTGCCACCAACAGCGGTGCCACCAACAGCGGTGCCACCAACAGCGGTGCCACCAACAGCGGTGCCACCAACAGCGGTGCCGCCAACAGCGGTGCCACCAACAGCGGTGCCACCAACAGCGGTGCCACCAACAGCGGTGCCACCAACAGCGGTGCCACCAACAGCGGTGCCATGCCACCAACAGCGGTGCCACCAACAGCGGTGCAATGCCACCAACAGCGGTGCCACCAACAGCGGTGCCACCAACAGCGGTGCCACCAACAGCGGTGCCATGCCACCAACAGCGGGTGCCACCAACAGCGGGTGCCACCAACAGCGGTGCCATGCACCAACAGCGGTGCCACCAACAGCGGTGCCATGCCACCAACAGCGGTGCCACCAACAGCGGTGCCACCAACAGCGGTGCCATGCCACCAACAGCGGTGCCACCAACAGCGGTGCCATGCCACCAACAGCGGTGCCACCAACAGCGGTGCCACCAACAGCGGTGCCATGCCACCAACAGCGGTGCCACCAACAGCGGTGCCACCAACAGCGGTGCCACCAACAGCGGTGCCACCAACAGCGGTGCCACCAACAGCGGTGCCACCAACAGCGGTGCCACCAACAGCGGTGCCACCAACAGCGGTGCCATGCCACCAACAGCGGTGCCACCAACAGCGGTGCCATGCCACCAACAGCGGTGCCACCAACAGCAGTGCCACCAACAGCGGTGCCACCAACAGCGGTGCCACCAACAGCGGTGCCACCAACAGCGGTGCCACCAACAGCGGTGCCACCAACAGCGGTGCCACCAACAGCGGTGCCACCAACAGCGGTGCCACCAACAGCGGTGCCACCAACAGCGGTGCCACCAACAGCGGTGCCACCAACAGCGGTGCCACCAACAGCGGTGCCACCAACAGCGGTGCCACCAACAGCGGATGCCACCAACAGCGGTGCCACCAACAGCGGTGCCACCAACAGCGGTGCCACCAACAGCGGTGCCACCAACAGCGGTGCCACCAACAGCGGTGCCACCAACAGCGGTGCCACCAACAGCGTGCCACCAACAGCGGTGCCACCAACAGCGGTGCCACCAACCAGCGGTGCCACCAACAGCGGTGCCACCACAGCGGTGCCACCAACAGCGGTGCATGCCACCAACAGCGGTGCCACCAACAGCGGTGCCACCAACAGCGGTGCCACCAACAGCGGTGCCACCAACAGCGGTGCCAGCACAACAGCGTGCATGCCACCAACAGCGGTGCCACCAACAGCGGTGCCACCAACAGCGGTGCCACCAACAGCGGTGCCACCAACAGCGGTGCCACCAACAGCGGTGCCACCAACAGCGGTGCCATGCCACCAACAGCGGTGCCACCAACAGCGGTGCCATGCACCAACAGCGGTGCCACCAACAGCGGTGCCACCAACAGCGGTGCCACCAACAGCGGTGCCACCAACAGCGGTGCCACCAACAGCGGTGCCACCAACAGCGGTGCCATGCCACCAACAGCGGTGCCACCAACAGCGGTGCCACCAACAGCGGTGCCACCAACAGCGGTGCCACCAACAGCGGTGCCACCAACAGCGTGGCCACCAACAGCGGGTGCACAACAGCTGTGCCACCAACAGCGGTGCCACCAATAGCGGTGCCACCAACAGCGGTGCCACCAACAGCGGTGCACCAACAGCGGTGCCACCAACAGCGGTGCCACCAACAGCGGTGCCACAACAGCGGTGCCATGCCACCAACAGCGGTGCCACCAACAGCGGTGGCAATGCCACCAACAGCGGTGCCACCAACAGCGGTGCCACCAACAGCGGTGCCATGCCACCAACCAGCGGTGCCACCAACAGCGGTGCCAACACAGCAGCGGTGCCATGCCACCAACAGCGGTGCCACCAACAGCGGTGCCATGCCACCAACAGCGGTGCCACCAACAGCGGTGCCACCAACAGCGGTGCCACCAACAGCGGTGCCACCAACAGCGGTGCCACCAACAGCGGTGCCACCACAGCGGTGCCACCAACAGCGGTGCCATGCCACCAACAGCGGTGCCACCAACAGCGGTGCCAAGGCCACCAAGCCACCAACAGCGGTGCCACCAACAGCGGTGCCACCAACAGCGGTGCCATCCACCACAGCGGTGCCACCAACAGCGGTGCCACCAACAGCGGTGCCACCAACAGCGGTGCCACCAACAGCTGGTGCCACCAACAGCGGTGCCACCAACAGCGGTGCCCACCAACAGCGGTGGCCACCAACAGCGGTGCCACCAACAGCGGTGCCACCAACAGCGGTGCCACCAACAGCGGGGGCCACCAACAGCGGTGCCACCAACAGCGGTGCCATGCCACCAACAGCGGTGCCACCAACAGCAGGTGCCACCAACAGCGGTGCCACCAACAGCGGTGCCACCAACAGCGGTGCCACCAACAGCGGTGCCACCAACAGCGGTGCCAACCAACAGCGGTGCCACCAACAGCGGTGCCACCAACAGCGGTGCCACCAACAGCGGTGCCACCAACAGCGGTGCCACCAACAGCGTGCCATGCCACCAACAGCGGTGCCACCAACAGCGGTGCCACCAACAGCGTGGCCACCAACAGCGGTGCCACCAACAGCGGTGCACTAGGTGCCACCAACAGCGGTGCCATGCCACCAACAGCGGTGCCACCAACAGCGGTGCCACCAACAGCGGTGCCACCAACAGCGGTGCCACCAACAGCGGTGCCATGCCACCAACAGCGGTGCCACCAACAGCGGTGCAATGCCACCAACAGCGGTGCCACCAACAGCGGTGCCACCAACAGCGGTGCCATGCCACCAACAGCGGTGCCACCAACAGCGGTGCCACCAACAGCGGTGCCATGCTACCAACAGCGGTGCCACCAACAGCGGTGCCATGCCACCAACAGCGGTGCCACCAACAGCGGTGCCACCAACAGCGGTGCCACCAACAGCGGTGCCACCAACAGCGGTGCCACCAACAGCGGTGCCACCAACAGCGGTGCCACCAACAGCGGTGCCACCAACAGCGGTGCCACCAACAGCGGTGCCATGCCACCACCAGCCGTGCCACCAACAGCGGTGCCACCAACAGCGGTGCCACCAACAGCGGTGCCACCAACAGCGGTGCCACCAACAGCGGTGCCACCAGCAGCGGTGCCACCAACAGCGGTGCCACCAACAGCGGTGCCACCAACAGCGGTGCCACCAACAGCGGTGCCACCAACAGCGGTGCCACCAACAGCGGTGCCACCAACAGCGGTGCCACCAACAGCGGTGCCACCAACAGCGGTGCCATGCCACCAACAGCGGTGCCACCAACAGCTGTGCAATGCCACCAACAGCGGTGCCACCAACAGCGGTGCCATGCCACCAACAGCGGTGCCACCAACAGCGGTGCCACCAACAGCGGTGCCATGCCACCAACAGCGGTGCCACCAACAGTGGTGCCATGCCACCAACAGCGGTGCCACCAACAGCGGTGCCACCAACAGCGGTGCCACCAACAGCGGTGCCATGCCACCAACAGCGGTGCCACCAACAGCGGTGCCACCAACAGCGGTGCCACCAACAGCGGTGCCACCAACAGCGGTGTCACCAACAGCGGTGCCACCAACAGCGGTGCCACCAACAGCGGTGCCACCAACAGCGGTGCCACCAACAGCGGTGCCACCAACAGCGGTGCCACCAACAGCGGTGCCACCACCAGCGTGCCAGCCAACGCGGTGGCCACCAACAGCGGTGCCACCAACAGCGGTGCCACCAACAGCGGTGCCACCAACAGCGGTGCCACCAACAGCGGGTGCCACCAACAGCGGTGCCACCAACAGCGGTGGCCACCAAACAGCGGTGCCACCAACAGCGGTGCCACCAACAGCGGTGCCACCAACAGCGGTGCACCAACAGCGGTGCATGCCACCAACAGCGGTGCCACCAACAGCGGTGCCACCAACAGCGGTGCAATGCCACCAACAGCGGTGCACCAACAGCGGTGCCACCAACAGCGGTGCCATGCCCAACAGCGGTGCCATGCCACCAAACAGCGGTGCCACCAACAGCGGTGCCACCAACCAGCGGTGCCATGCACAACAGGCGGTGCCACCAACAGCGGTGTGCGGTGCCACCAACAGCGGTGCCACCAACAGCGGTGCCACCAACAGCGGTGCCATGCCACCAACAGCGGTGCCACCAACAGCGGTGCCACCAACAGCGGTGCCACCAACAGCGGTGCCACCAACAGCGGTGCCACCAACAGCGGTGCCACCAACAGCGGTGCCACCAACAGCGGTGCCACCAACAGCGGTGCCACCAACAGCGGTGCCACCAACAGCGGTGCCACCAACAGCGGTGCCACCAACAGCGGTGCCACCAACAGCGGTGCCACCAACAGCGGTGCCACCAACAGCGGTGCCACCAACAGCGGTGCCACCAACAGCGGTGCCCACCAACAGCGGTGCCACCAACAGCGGTGCCATGCCACCAACAGCGGTGCCACCAACAGCGGTGGCATGCCACCAACAGCGGTGCCATGCCACCAACAGCGGTGCCACCAACAGCGGTGCCATGCCACCAACAGCGGTGCCACCAACAGCGGTGCCACCAACAGCGGTGCCACCAACAGCGGTGCCACCAACAGCGGTGCCACCAACAGCGGTGCCACCAACAGCGGTGCCACCAACAGCGGTGCCACCAACAGCGGTGCCACCAACAGCGGTGCCATGCCACCAACAGCGGTGCCATGCCACCACAGCCACTGCTATACCATGTTCCTCTGTGGTGGCTGTGTGGTGGGCCACCACTATGCTGTGCTCTCACACGCTTCTTCTTTCTTCCCCTGCCATTTCCCTTGCGCGTCCCTTCCCTCACCACCCCCCCCCCCCCCTCCTCCCCATCAGTTCCTTCAATGAGGCCCGGTGGTTAACCACCAATGGCGGAGCTACCACAGCCACTGCTGCTGCCGCCACAGCCGCCACTGATTTCCCCGATGCAGATATGGTAGAGGATCCGATATCCTCGTTACAAGCCTCCTCGTCTACACCATCCGCCTTGCTATCAGCGCTCTCGGTACAAGCGGGTTCATTATCAGCTACAGGGAACCCTGAAGCAGCCCCATTGAGGTTCAGCAGCAGTCAGCCTGGCAGTGCTTTGGACAGCAACAGAGGCATTTTCATCGGCGGTTGTAGTAGTATCAACCACAGTAGCAACCACAATAGCAACTACAACAGCAGCAACAACAGCAGCAACAACAGCAGCAGCAGTATCTACAACAGCCTGCATCCGTTTCAAGATGGGATGAACAACTTGAACCCCTCGTGTCCCACCACTAGCCCCTCCCCCTCGTGCCCGATCGCCATTCCACTGGCCTCCACACACAGACCTGGCCCGATTTCTCCAACGGGTGTTGAGGCGTTTCAGACCCCCACTTACAGGCAAGGGGCGTTTTCCCCCACTAGTGTCGAGCCGTTTCAAAGCCCAACACACAGGGTGGGACCGTTTTCCCCCAGTAGAGGGAGGGCGGAGGAGGCAGGTGGAGCAGGCAGGGTGGGAGCAGCAAGGAGGGCGTTAGGGGCAGAGGTAGGGAGTGGGGTAGAGGGGGGGTTAGGGGCAGTATTTGGAGCAGCAGGACGGGGCGTTATAGGGGCACGTGAGGTAGGCGGGGTAGGTGTTTTAGGGCGAGGAGGAGGGAGAGGAGGAGGAGGGAGTGAGAGGGTGAAGCGGTGTTGGCGGGACGTGAGGGAGGAAACGGAGCAGAGGGAGAGGATCGAGTCGATATCGTTGAAAATGGCTGGGCTGAGTCCTCCCAATGGGGACTGCAAGAGACAACGTGTGACTCAGTGGTAGACTGCAAGGCACAGCGAGTGACCAGTGGTGATTCAGTGGTGACTGTAGGGGAAGTTAGAAGAGAGGTGAGTGGGTGGAGCAGAGGGAGAGGATCGAGTCGATATTGCTCAAGATGGCTGGGCTTAGTCCGCCCAATGGAGACTGCAAGAGACAACGTGTGACTCAGTGGTGACCCTGTGGTCTTTCTGATGAATGGGTGGAGCAAAGGGAGAGGATTGATTCGATATTGCTCAAGATGGCTGGGCTGAGTCCGCCCAATGGAGACTGCAAGCGACAACGGGTGACCCAGTGGTGACTCAATGGTGGCGCAGTCTGCCCAAATCACTGCGCAGTCAGCGGCATGAATCCCTAATCACTGCGCTCTCAAGATGGCTGGGTGATACGCCAGTAAGGCTGGTTTTGAGACGTCTCAAAACATTCGCATCAGTTCAAGATGGCTGGGCGCAGTCTGCCCAAAGGGGACTGCACGAGACAACGGGTAACTCAGTGGTGACTCAGTGGTGAGTCAGTGGTGACTGTAGGGAAAGGTGGGGGTGAAGTGAGTGGGTGGAGCAGAGGGAGAGGATAGAATTGATATAATTCAAAATGCCAATCGTGACTGCAAGCAACTGGTAGAATTGTTAGCTGGAGGCGTGGTGATAATGATGCTTCCCATGTTGCAAATGTAACTATATTGGTTAGGGCGGGTCCAGGGCTGACTTTTCGAATAAAACCACTCTGATTTTTTTGGCCCCCCAATTTTTTTTAGTCTGAGGCCCATTTTCCAAAAAGTGAATACTCTGATTTCTCAGGAACCAGAGAAGTATAACTCTGAAAATTTTATAATTCAGAGACTAAGGCAGGTTTTCCTACTAACGAACCTTTTGCACAAGTTCGGAGGGATGGGTTTTCGAAGTAACAGGTATGGCGAAGGGGAGTTCGTACTCTGTAGTATGAAAACTCATTATCCGGTAAGCAAGTTCTCTGATTTTTTCAGTATCGAAAAAACCATTAGTCTGAAGCACTCATTTTTCAAAACCAGCCAACTCTGAAAAATCAGGAATGTCAGGAAAATAGTCTGAAATTTCAGACAATCAGACTAAAATAGTCTGATATCGTCAGCCCTGGGCGGGTCCAACTTTGTACATTTAAGGCTAATTTTCATCACAGTTACCACATTTAGGCATACTCGCGTTTTAAGTTAATCAGTTCTTCATGTATGTACCATAACCTTTAACGTACAAAATCCAGATGCGGCACTGTACATGCTCCAGGCAAGCATGCCCAACTATTGATTCCTAAATTCAGAACTGTGGCTAGCTATTGGTACAGTATGATACTTCAGCTTATTGTTGTACCCATTATTGTTGCAAGCTACGATCAGCATCACCATGGAGCAAAGGAAGCTTTCGATTGATAGAGAAACGTCAGCGCGTTGCCTCTAAATACATCATACGCTGGAGGACAACTACACATTTACTGTACAAGCACAGCAGCTTAACATTGCAACCCAACAAACGTTGAATCCTAGACGTCTCAACACAACTCAAAACCAAACACGAGCTGGGTTGCTCTGGGTTACGAGCTGCAGCATTCTCAGTGGCAGAGTCTACTCAAGAGGTCATTTTGTGTTGGCAGCTGCGGCATCCTCAGATGGTGGGTCTGGAGGCTGGATTTCAATATCCGGGTACACCTGTTGCACAAATAGGTTGAGTTTGAGATGTGAAGTATGAGGCGGTCTTGGTGCAACTTTTGAGAATGCTCAAAAGTCGCACCACTCAGATGGTGGGCCTGGAGGCTGGATTTCAATATCCGGGTACACCTGTTGCACAAATAGGTTGTAAGAAAGAGGTTGCGATGTGAAGTATGATGCGGTCTGGTGGTTCGTAGAGACAGGCCACTTCCATGCCATGCTAGGAACATCAAATAAGCCAAACAAAAAATACACTAAATAAAAGAGAAGGGAAAAGAAAGAAGCGAATAAAAACAAACAAACAAACAAACAAACAAACAGGGAGGGGGGAGCCGAAACGGGCCAGACAAGCAATAGAGGAGTCAAACGGACGAGTCAAGTCCTAAGGAGGGCCAGAAAATGAACGAAATTGTACTACACAACAGGTTGAACCTCTCTTCGATGTTCAAAGAGGAACCTCTAGGTTCCTCGTCTGGCTCTAGCCACAACTCACAATCAATGTGTCTCTAGCTCTCCACCTCTCCACCTCTCCACCTCTCCACCTCTCTGCCTCTCCTATCCCCCTCCCTACCCCGTACCTCCTTGAACCTCTTTCGTAGGTCAGCGTCCACAAGGCGCGTGCCGTCCAGCTGGTTGCCCAGAGAGATCCAGCTGAGGTGGAAGGGAGGTGCAGGGAGGTGCAGGGAGGTGCAGGGAGGTGCGGGGAGGTGCAGGGAGGTGCAGGGAGGTGCGGGGAGGTGCGGGGAGGGGGAGGTGCAGGGAGGTGCGGGGAGGTGCGGGGAGGTGCAGGGAGGTGCAGGGAGGTGCGGGGAGGTGCGGGGAGGGGGAGGTGCAGGGAGGTGCGGGGAGGTGCGGGGAGGTGCAGGGAGGTGCAGGGAGGTGCGGGGAGGTGCAGGGAGGTGCAGGGAGGTGCAGGGAGGTGCAGGGAGGTGGGTTAGACGGAGAGGAGAGGGGCGCATGAGCAGGTCAACATCCACAAGGCTGATTAGAGCGTTAGAGGGGTTAAAGCGTTCCGTCCCGCTGATTACCCAGGGAGATCCAGCAGAGGTGAGGTGGAAGGAGGGGGGTATAGAGGAAGAGGGACGGGAAGTACATTAGCAGTGCAGCAGTAACAAGCCACGTGTCGTCCAGCTTGCCAGCTGCATGCCATGCCATCCCACTGATGGGTGTTTTTGAGAATTCTCAAAAACACCCTGGAGAATTCTCAAAAACACCCTGCAGCTGCTTGCCATCCAGCTGATTTCCCAGCGAAACCCAACTGAGGTGAGGGAGAGGAGTATGCAGGGAAGGGGGGGTGGAGCCGACGGGGAAGTGGCGGAAAAAAGGAAAAGTGACGGGATGAGGGTGCGAAGGGAGAGAAGAGCGGGGAAGGGGCGATTGGGGGGGATGGGGGAGGGGGGGAGAGTGAATCTAAGTGAGGTGGGAACAAAGGAGGCAGTGAAGTCCAGGTGCTACACATGAATATGTGTATACATGGGATGGCAGACGGGTATGTATGTGTAATGCATGTAGGATCCTACTCATCCTGCTGCATCCTAAGCCCGCATGACCATAGCCGTCTCACTCAAACATCCACCATTCACGTGTAGAGAGGTTGTTTTTGAGACGTCTCAAAAATAGCCGTGTCACTCAAACATCCACCATTCACCCTGTGCACGGCCCACACTCACTCTGGCACCCATCCCCTGTAGATGCCCTAATGATCCCACGGACACACACACACCCCACATACCCCAAACACACACTCAACCCACAAGCCACACTCACACTCACAAACACACCACCACCCACTCACCCCACGTGTGTCTTATGCATGTACGCAAACAGCTCAAGCTTCCATGCGTCCACACAGACTCATCACCCCACCCACACACACTCATCACCCCACCCACACACCACCACCCACTCACCCCGCGTGTGTCTTGTGTATGCACCACAGTCTCACACACAGCACCCACTCACCCCGCATGTGTGTTGTGCATGCGTGCAAACAGCTCCAGCTTCCTTGTCCTTGGACTAATGCGCTCTAGCATAGAATACATCTGAGAGTGATGGGGGGAAGAGGGGGCGAACAGGTGAGGTCAAGTAAGAGGGTCTCTCGCGGTCGATCAACGGAAAACACTATTGTGAGAGAGGGGGGGCGGGTGGGAGGGGAGGTGGAAGGGGGGGGGGGGGGGGGAGAAAAGGTCACTTTTGAGTCGAATCAACAGCTTCCTTGACAGAAAGGTGCTGGAACGTTCTGCTCTTCTCACCTCGTCCCAATTCCTTCACCTCATCCGGACTTTTGCTGGTCTCACCTCATCGGGCTTCCTGCTGGTCTCTCTGACTTCAGCCACAATCACATCGGTGTCGAATCAACAAATGTGTGTGTCGTATGGCATCGTGGCAAGGCGACCTCTCCTCTCCTCTCCTGCCCCTCTCCTCTCACCTCATCGGGCTTTCGGGTGGTCTCTCGCTCTTCAGCCACAATCACATCGGTGTCGATGCTGTCTCGATGCAATCCCGATGTATGCTTGTATTTTGTGTAGATTATTTTGGTACCATCTCCTCTCCTCTCCTCCCATCTCCTCTCATCTCATCGGGCTTCCTGCTGGTCTCGCGGGCTTCAGCGACGATCACGTCAGTGTCGATGTTGTTCCCATGCAGTCCCCATGTATGTACGCCCAATGCATGCTTGTACCACCTGCACTCCACTTTTTGCGTCTCTCACCTCATCGGGCTTTCTACTCGTCTCGCGGACTTCAGCAACGATCACGTCGGTGTCAATGTTGCGGTTCACGAGGGGAGCGCCCTTGATGCCCACCAGGCAGTGCTCCTTGCTGTGGTTCAGCCAGTGCCCCGTGCGCCCCGTGCGAATGATGCGCTGCAGCTGATTCGTCTTCACCCATATTATTTCCTCAACGCGACGGTACCCCCACAGCTCCAAACTGCAGGCAGGAGTGACGGGAAGCAAGGGCAGCACACACAAAGGGAGCACACACGAAGGGAAGCAAGGCAAGCCACAAGGAGTGAGTGGGGAGAGGCATGGCATTGAGACAAGGGCCTTCAGGCACCAGGCAGTGCTCCTTGCTGTGATTCAGCCAGTGCCCCGTGCGGATGATGCACTGCAGCTGATTCGTCTTCACCCAGATGATCTCCTCCACTCGCCGATACCCCCACAGCTCCAAACTGCGGGCAGGCAGGAGTATAAATTTATACATCTATGTAGACATACATATATATGTCAACAGATGTATATATATATAGATATCATGTACATGAATCCAAAAACACTTGTATGCTCGTGTACAAATGCAAACATAAATGAGAATATGCATACACATACGAACACATATATAAACATACACACATATGTATACATATACCTGCAATTATTCAGCTTTTGGAGGTGGGTGAACCTATGACGAGATCTTGCTTCCGTTCCCATGCGGGAACCTAATACATTCCACTAAGACAAGAACAGAGAACGTGATAGGTAGGCGCCCTAAAATCTCACTTTCCCAGCTTCACCTGTGTTGCTGCAGACCGTGGTCACCTGGTTGGCTGTCCCACTGCCTTCTATTGTCGCACTCACCACCTGCGATCGTCACACTCACCACCCCCGATTGTCACACTCACCACCCCCAATTGTCACACTCACCACGAGCCATTGTCACACTCACCACCCGCCACTGTCACACTCACCACTCTCGACCCAGCTCCATAGCACGGCCTGTCACCCAAAGGAATATGAGCCCATCCGTTTGCAATCCCTGGTGGATTCAGCAGGGGAGAAGGGGGGAAGAGGAGTGCGAGGGTGAGACAAGGGAGTGGTGAAGGGGCTATTATGAGTCAAACAAAACAACAATGGAGTGGCGTGTGGGGGGGGGGGAGAAGGAGGAGACAGGGGAGAGGAGGAGTGAATATTCAAAATGCGAATGCCATCATCAGCTACGGTGCAGTGCGGTATGGCAGCTCCCTTGTTCTGAAGCTCACTCCTAGCCATACTCACGGGCACGTTGAAGTCAAGGATCACTCACTCACGGGCACGTTGAGATGAGAGTGCGCATCTCATCATCCGCCATGGTGCCGTAAGGCAGCTCCATGTGAATGTCCCACGGGGGTGTGCCGTGAGGGGAACGGTAGAGGAGTGTATAAGAAGAGCAGCTGGATATGCTGAGACAGAGGGTTCACCCACCACTCCACACAGACAGAGGGTTGACCCACCACTCCACACACACACTCACCGGGACATTGAGGGTTCGCATCTCATCATCCGCCATGGTGCCGTAAGGGAACTCCATGTGAATGTCCCACGGGGGGTGATCCCAAGGCAGTGCAGAGGCTCACTCACCGCCCACCACGGGGGATGATGGGGTGATGGGCAGAGAGAGGGTTGACCCACCACATACACGCATACACAAACACACACTCACACTCCCTCACCAGAACATTCAGGGTCCGCATCTCATCATCAGCCATGGTGCCATAAGGCAGCTCCATGTGAATGTCCCACGGCCACGGGGGGCGATGAGAGGGGTGATTCTAAGGGAACACGCTGGCATGCTGAGGGACACACACACACACTCACACACACACACACACACACACACACACACACACACACACACACACACACACACACACACTCACCGGGACATTGAGAGTCGGTTTTTGAGTCAACTCAAAAACCGACGCATCTCATCATCCGCCATGGTGCCGTAAGGCAGCTCCATGTGAATGTCCCACGGTGGGTGCAGTCCGCCATGAGGGCGTTACAGGGGCTTCAAGGTGTCTACGACAGGCATAAATGTGCATGCAGAGAAACAGGGTTGACCCGCCATACATGCACTTACTCACCGGCACATTCAGGGTCCGCATCTCATCATCCGCCATGGTCCCATAAGGTAGCTCCATGTGAATGTCCCACGGTGGGTCCGCCATGATCACCCCAAACTGCCCCAGAATGTCGGTGCGGAAGTTGCGGATGTCACAGTTGACCCACTGCGCCTCCCCCAGTTCAACCTGTCACATCAGACAGCGAAGGGACAATGAATTTAAGTAGCCAGAGGGCTTCAGAGGTCAGCTCACGGGGATGTCCCTCCCACGGGGGTTCCGCCATGATGACCCTGAACTGCCCTAGAAGAATGTCCGTGTGGAAGTTGCGGATGTCGCAGTTCACCCACTGTGCTTCCCCCAGCTCAACCTGCTCAGGAAAACAGCGAAGAGACAATGAGCATAAGCAGGAGAGAGGTTTTCGGGGGTCAGCTCTCATAAGAATGTCCCACCCATCATTCCACGGTGGGTCCGCCATGATGAACCCGAACTGTCCCAGAATGTCCGTGTGGAAGTTGCGGATGTCACAGTTCACCCACTGCGCTTCCCCTAGTTCCACCTGCAACAAACATAAACACACAGAGATAAGCCTTTGGAGATGAGCTCGCAAGGATGTCCCATGGGGGGCACGCCCACCCATGCCCATTGATCTGCACCACAGGAAGCACGCCCACCCATGCCCATAGGTGTACCACCCAGGTCTAAACAATACCTGGGTGTACCCCATAAATCCGCACCTGAGAGCAATATTCGGGCAGGGGGGGTGCGGTCGATCGGGCACGGGATGGTGGAGGGAATACTTCTTGAATGAGTTAATCTGCACCAAAGGGGGCATGGCCGACCCGTGCCCATCGCCCCACCGATACGCATACCCATATGCCCACCCATGCCCATCGCCCATGCCCATCGCCCATGCCCATCGCCCATGCCCATCGCCCATGCCCATCGCCCATGCCCATCGCCCATGCCCATCGCCCATGCCCATCGCCCATGCCCATCGCCCATGCCCATCGCCCATGCCCATCGCCCATGCCCACACCCATGCCCATCGCCCATGCCCACACCCATGCCCATCGCCCATGCCCATCGCCCATGCCCATCGCCCATGCCCATCGCCCATGCCCATCGCCCATGCCCATCGCCCATGCCCATCGCCCATGCCCATCGCCCATGCCCACACCCATGCCCACACCCATGCCCATCGCCCATGCCCATTGCCGCCCATGCCCATCGCCCATGCACAACAGCCTACCTGAGAGCAATATTCCGGCCTTGGAGGGCGGTCGAAGGGGCGAGGGATGGTCGATGGAATGTACCTGAACGAGTTAATCTGCACCACAGGCGGCCTGGCCGGCCCGTGCCTATGCATGCCAGGCTCACACACATGACCCTCACACCCACACACATGACCCTCACACCCACACACATGACCCTCACACCCACACACATGACCCTCACACCCACACACATGACCTCACACCCACACACATGACCCTCACACCCACCCTACCTGCGAGCAGTACTCGGGCCGAGGCGGCCGGTCGAATGGCCGGGGGATAGTCGAGGGGATGTACTGCCCGAACGAGTTGATTTGCACCACAGGCGGCATGGCCGGCCCGTGCCCACTTTCACACCCATATCCACACTCACTCCCATATCCACACTCACTCCCATAAATGAATCCATACCTGAGAGCAGTATTCCGGCCTTGGAGGCCAGTCGAACTGTCTTGGAATGGTGGAGGGGATGTACTGCCCGAACGAGTTGATCTGCACCACAGGCGGCATGGCCGGCCCATGCATGCATGCCCATGCATGCATGCCGTGCGGCCCTAGAGGGGCCCATCCATCCTACGAGGCCCATACTCCCCACACTAGCCCACCTGAGAGCAGTACTCGGGCCGGGGGGGTTGGTCGAACGGCCTGGGAATGGTGGACGGAATGTACTGCCGGAACGAGTTAATCTGCACCACAGGGGGCCTGGCCGGCCCGTGCCTATGCATGCCATGCCCACACCCATACACATGACCCTCACACCCACTCTACCTGCGAGCAGTACTCAGGCCGAGGGGGGCGGTCAAACGGTCTTGGAATGGTGGACGGAATGTACTGTCCGAAGGAGTTGATCTGCACCACAGGGGGCCTGGCCGGCCCGTGCCCATGCATGCCGTGCGGCCCCATTGATCCCCCATGGGGCCCGAATATGCCCATGGCGGCAGCAGCGGCGGCGGCGGGAGGCAGGGCGGCCCCTGGGGGGATCATGGCGCCGTAGGGTGCTCCATCTGGGACTGGATCCAGCTCGTAGTGTACGTACTTGCAAGTCTGGGGGGAGGGAGATGGAATCGGAAAAGAGGAGGAGCAGCAGAGAGAGACGGTTTGTGCCTATGTTTAAAGCGCAGCAAAGAAAAGCAGGGAGTGCAGGGACTGCAGGGGCTGCAAGCTTGCTTACCTTCATGTGGCGGCATGTGTCGAGGAAAGAGCAATCTCCGAGGTTCATGTCGGTGTGTGGGGATATGATGCGACGGAAATGCACCTGGTGTGGGATGGAGGAAGGAGGAGAGCAAAGGAAAGCATGGAAAGGAGGGAGGGAGACGGGGATACGACTATGCAATGGATCGACAATTTGGCGATGTGCGGGGATACGATGTGTGGGGATACGATGTGTGGGGATACGATGTGTGGGGATACGATGTGTGGGGATACGATGTGTGGGGATACGATGTGTGGGGATACGATGTGTGGGGATACGATGTGTGGGGATTCGATGTGTGGGGATACGATGTGTGGGGATACGATGTGTGGGGATACGATGTGTGGGGATACGATGTGTGGGGATTCGATGTGTGGGGATACGATGCGAGGCAAATGACTTTTGAGGCGCCTCAAAAGTGGTTCATGTCGGTGTGTGGGGATACGATGCGACGCAAATGCACCCACAGACGATGTGGGTGGGACGAAGGAGGAAGGCAGGGAGCGAAGAAAAGGCAGCACCCTCAGATCTGAGAAGAGGGACAGTGCATTCAAAGTTCTATCAGGTTCGTGTCACTGTGAGGGGAATTCATGCATTGAACGTGCACCTGGCGTGAGATGAGCCACGGGCACAAGGAGGGACAGGGGGGAATGACGGTGAATGATCAGGTTCATTCACGCATGTCAGTGTGTGGGGATGTGATGTGGTGGGGAGAAGGATGGGAGAGGGAGGGGAGGGGCGCAGGAAATGGGAGAGGCATACAGGTACACACACACATTTCGTCTCGTGTCTGTATGCCTTGTTATGCTGTGGTGGTATAGCATTGGAAGGGAAGAGATATCTCTGTTGGCACATACATACAACCACCACATGCACTGCCGCCCACCTTGTCGCAAGCAGTGTACGAGTTGCGGTGGCGGCGGCAGTCGTCTTTAGTGAGCCGGTTGCAATACTCTCGCACCATGGACCCGCCCTTGGTCTTGAACTGGAGGGAGCACAGAGGTAGGGTCCGATGAAGGATGGTGAACGTTCAGGCCTAATCAATGAGATGAAGGATTGGGGCTTATCAACAAGGTAAAGGGTTTAACAGCGATAATCCTCAATAAGCCGGTTGCACTACTCTCACACCATGGACCCGCCCTTGGTCTTGAACTGAAGGGAGCACAGAGGTAGGGTAAGGATTTGTGGAAAAGGTGAAGGTTCAGAGCAAAATGACTAGATGTAAGGATTCGGGGTTTGGTTTAACGGCAGCCGTCCCTAGTGAGCCGGTTGCAGTACTCTCGCACCATGGACCCACCCTTGGTCTTGAACTGGAGGGGACACACAGAAGATTAGGGCTTATGAAAAGGTTGAAGGGGCCCACAATTTGTTGGGAAAAAAAAGAAAAAAAAGAAGAAAAAAAAAAAAGTGGGGGTGGGGGGACAATATATTTGAGAATGCCGTGCAGATTTACAGTCCCATCAAAACCAGAATCCTTTTCGAAACTCTCACAAAAATGCCCTCAACCTGCGTACCTAGCATCCCTCCGGGCTCACCCGTGCAGCAACAGCCGTCTCTTTGGCAGTGGGCTTCTGCAGCAGCTCTAACAGCCTTGAGAGCCCACAACTGTAACCCTATCCGAAAACCCTGAGCCCTGAGATCCATACACACCCGTGCACCAACAGCCGTCTCTTTCGCAGTAGCTCTAACAGAATTGAGAGCCCAGAACTGAAACCCTACCCTCAACCCTGAGCCCTGAGATCCATACACACCCGTGCACCAACAGCCGTCTCTTTCGCAGTAGCTCTAACAGAATTGAGAGCCCAGAACTGTAACCCTACCCTCAACCCTGAGCCCTGAGATCCATACTGGAGTGACTTTTGAGAATTCTCAAAAAACCCTATCCTCAACCCTGAGCCCTGAGATCCATACACACCCGTGCAGCGACGGCTGTCTCCTTGGCGGTGGGCTTCTGCAGCAGCTCTAACAGCTCCTCGCCCCGCTTGGACTGCAGCATTTCCTTGAACCACTTCTTTGACAATATCTCCTCCACCCTCATCTCCTCCTCCTCCCCCTCCTCCTCCTCTTCCCCTCCCCCACCTCCAGTCTCCCCCTTTTTCTCCCCCCTTTTCTCTCCCTTCTTCTCCCCCTCCTTCTCCCCTTCCCCTCCGGTTTCCCCCCCACCGCCTCTACCCTCCCCCGCCTCTGCTGCCATCCCCCTCCCCCATCTCCCCCCCCTCTCCTGCCCCCCTCCGCCAGGCCCTCCCCCTCCGCCTCTTCCCCCTCCGCCCATTCCCAAAGAGTGGGGAGGGGGGAGACTCGGGTGGGGGCGGAAGGGAGGGGGAAGGCCTTGCAGTCTATGATCCATACCCATGCCCATGCCCATGCCCATGCCCATTCCCATACCCATTCCCATACCCATACCCATACGCATTCCCATCCCCACCCCCATACCCATCCCCATGCCCATACCCATGTTTTCGTTATAAGGCATCATTCCCCCTTGCCCATAGGGGGGCCTTCCCCCCATCCCTGGCCCTCCCCCCCCATGCATGCCCATTGGCCCTGGTCCACCCCCAGGGGGGAAATTCCCCCCCATACCCCCTCCTGGCCCACCCCCACCAGGAAAATACCCCCTGCCTCCACCAGGGTAATTCACCCCACCCATCGGCCCTGCGGGTTCAAACCCATGCGGAGCCATACCAGGAGGAAACTGCGAGGGTCCTTCCCTATCCCCCATGTCCCTCCCCTCCCTGCCCCCTTCCCCCCCCATTCTTCCCCCATCCCCCCCCATCCCCCCTCTTCCAACCCCAAACCTGCGATTCTCCCGCCCAAAACCGCCCCGTCCCCTCCTGCCTAGCAGCAACCCCACCTCCTCCTCCTCCTCCCTCTCCTGCTGCTTCCGGGAAGCTTCTGCAGACGGAATCGTCGCCCCAGGAAACATCCTCGAAAGCGCCAGCCTGTCAAACCCTAAAACCATCAACCTAGCCACTCCAGCCACAGCAAATTCCTCTATCTCCACTAAAGGCGCTCCGCTCACGCTCCCCCCTGCTCCGCCCTTCCAGCTCCGCTTTCCCCCCGCCTTCCCCGCTCCGCCTCCCGCTTCCGCGCCCCCCCCGACAGTCATCCCCGCAAGTACCCTAAGGGCCGTTTCTAGCGCGCCTATTGGCCCGTCCTCCCCTCCGACCTCTAAAATCGCGGCTTGGTCTATACTTTCGGGGTTTAACTCCTTCTTTAATCTCCTATTTATCGCGCTAGAGTCCAAAGGCACCGCCGTGCCGGCCGCCAGCAGGACGGCAGCCACGAGCCGCTCCACACGCTCGAGTGACGTCAGCGGCCGGCGCGACTCGTCCACTATGTCTTCCTCTCGCGGGAACGTGTCAATTGGCGGAGGCGTGGGGGTTTGCTGACCCGCGAAAAGGTTCGGACTTTCAGTTCGAGAAGGAATTGCGAATCCTCCTCCCGCTGCTGCTGCTCCTCCTCCTCCTCTTGCTACTATGCCACTAAGCTTTCCCGCGCCGCCGCGGCCCGCTTTCTCGTCTTCTAAACCTTCTAGAATGTTCTGAAGGGAGCCTTTTTTCCGCGGCCGTATCGTTAACGGCCCGCTACCGCCGCCGCCGCTAACGCCAGCTGTTGCCTCGGTGGCTCCCGCAGCGCCCGAGCTGACGTTCGAGTCGCCTCCGTCGTCGCGACCTTCGCTGCCTGACACGTCAGATCTTCCTCCGCCTCCGCCGCCGCCGCCGGCATTCGCGCTGTTGGTCAACCCCGTCGCCGCCAGCGCCGTGTTCGTCGTCGCGACAGGCGGAACATCGTCGACCGAAGGCGAGCGGCGCGCGGCGGAAATTCCGCCGCTTCCGCCGGTGGAAGGAGCTGACGTCAGCAAGTCGTTTACAAGCGACGCGGTGGCTTTCTTGCGACTTTCGAGGCGCTCCTTAAGGCGTGACCGCTGCTGACGCAGCTGAGCTATTTCCGCTGCCTCCTCGTCATCCATGGCTGCAAATTTCTCGGAAACGGAAACCTGCACTGGGAAATGGCTACCCGTTAGTGACTACGAAATGACGAAAGGACGAAATTACGGGACTTGTAGGGTTGCTTTCTGTGTGAGGCTGCAGAGCAGAACCGGGGGAGGGAGCGTCACTGACACGGTTGTAAGAGACTGAGCAGACTTGATACGAGCTACCTCATGATGCTGTACAGTATTGTACCCTATAAACGGGCCTTATAAACTTCAGAACAAGCACTTCATATATATTTTCCAACATTTCCAAGCAAACTTTACTCTGGCGACTCTTCTCTAGCTACAGGGAGCATGGATAAAAACATTGAGGGCAAACCAATATCGTCTTCTAATCGCCCCGTTTCTTGATCATCCTCCTCTCCTTTCTCTCCTGCCTTCTCCTGCCCCTCACCACTAACAGTCCCAGGCAACTCATCCATGCCCGTCTTTTCATTCTCTGTGCCATCACTAGTGCTGGGCTTTTCCGCATCACCATCACCACCACCCGCCTTGTCACCACCACCAGCACGATCATCGTCTTCCTCATTTTCCTCATCATCACCATCATTCCCCAATATTTGCTGGAGATGCTGAATGCGGTTTCCCAAGCAGTCTAGTTTCTCAGCACTGAGCTCGGCGAGCAAGCGCTCCATATAGTCACTGTTCTCATAGGAGCGGTATTCACACATTATGCGGATCTCATTGCGCATAATCACTTGAACATCCTGCAAGAACCATATTTACACATAAGGAGGCACAAGTCAGAAAGGTACCAACAAGGTGGAATCAGAAAGGTACCAAGAAGCTGAAAAAAGGAGCTGTAGATTTTCAAGTGTCACATGCTGGTTGGAACATCATGTGGAACAATTTATATGAGCTCACCCGCATGGCCAGCATGAAATCTTGGCACATCCCAGCCACCATTTCTGGTTTCCTGTTTGCCCCTCCCGGTCCCCCCCCTGCAGCAATGCTTCCATGAAGGTTCCCTGGAAGGTGCGGATGCGAAGGCCCACCTCCCCCTCCACCTCCGCCTCCTACTGGTGCGGACGGTCCTGATTGGCCGAGCAGCTGCATGACGTTGCCTGCGCATTTGACAGCGTCGATTATTCGCTGTGGTAATTCCGGAATGGATGAAGATCCAGTTAGGGTTTAAGTGTGAACCAAACAGAAAGGGATCAGGGTTACGTGACAGCATGGATTGTGTTGGTTGTACATTCATGGTGTTGATGAGTTTAAGAAACGGTAGGTGAGATATGGGTTACGTGGAAGAAGTGGGGGGACATGAGGCGACATGGGGAGACATGGGGGGTCACGAAGAGACACGAGGGGAGATATGGGGGGACATGGGCGGACATGGAGACATGGGGGACATGGAGAGACATGGAGAGACGCCAGAGCAAGGGCAAGGTGCACGCTCAGAGCCAACGTGAGTAACTTTTTCTTTTTCCAGAAGTCCGTCAAACCGCGTGATTCACGCGCTGTAGATTCTCTTGATGATCTCACGTCCTGTTCTACGCGCAACGAAGGTCCCTGATTCTTCCTCATTCTCTCGTCATAGTACCTGTTCCACTCGTTGTAAATTTTCCATGGACGATAGGCCCGGCGCGGCTTCAGCCTCCGACGGAAGCTTTGAAGCCATGACACAGCTCTCGTTGACGGACCGACACGTGCAGCCGGAATCTGGCGGAAGGCGAACGTCGACCGGAACTGGTCAACAGGACTGGCAGATGTCGTCAGCAATGTCGCGAAAAGTCGTTACCAGTGTTCATGACAATCGTCAGGAATGTCACGAAACGTCGTCGGGATGGACGTAACAAACGACTGGTGTTCAAGTAAATGAGATTCTCTGGCGGACTAATTTTGGCGAGGAACTGAGGTGAGTTTAGGGTGCGCCGTCCTAAGATTCTCACAGCTGTTGCGGATTACCTAAAAAGGACCTGCAAGCGGCGCATTGAGAGACACGGGAACAAAGCACATGTGCGGCTTGGCTTGAGCGCGACCGTTGAATGATTTGCAAGCAGCAGCAGCAGCCATTCAGAATGTGACCTGTAGACTGTGTTGATGAGCGAAGGGCACTTGCGATGGATCGAAAACGGGAGCCGTGTTGCCTTGAGTAGTTCCCATTGTCGAGTGCTCGATTACGCCTCGAGAAAATTGTAGATTACAGTTGTAATTGGAACGAATGAGATTACTGTATACATTAAACTCATGCACATTCGCAATTGCAGTTTCAGACAACAAGGTGAGAATACATATATTTATTCAGCATTATTCATGGTTTTCCGTATAGATAAACGATTATAGAATATATCATCAAGCAAATCTCTGCACACATACCGGTAAGAACAACCACCTGCTTCCACCAGGGCTGACGTTTCACTTTAGGGCTCCCTGATGCCGCTAAAAAAAAATTCCCTCGATTATGAGTGCACATTGTTCAGGAGATTGTCACCCTGATGGCTCAGGGTTCAACAACTAGTCACTCTGATGAGACAGGGTCGACAGCCTGAATTCAAGGTTGTGTTTCAAATTTTACTAGGGTGATTACTGCAATGTACAGCCTGTAACAAATTTCCTCCTACATCTACTCTATTCTAGTGCACAGGTGTTACAGGGGGTTTTACTGTTCACTTTGCACAGTAACTCCCAACCCCATCCTTATCCTTATCTTCTTGGATTTCCTAGTGCCACGTGGCACTCTACTTTCTTTGCCTTCTAGTTCCTAGTCCCACAACCCACTTTCCCACAATTGCTCTTGCATGCTATATCAACCTTGCTTGTATTCCCTCATATCAATCAATTCTCATTCAACTCTTCAATTACTCAGTTACCTCTTCGCCTATTTCGCCAACACTCTCTTTCGCCAAAGTCTTCCGCCGCGTTTATCCTCAATTTAGTCAACCCCGCTATTCCTTAGCGGATTTAGGCCAAGGGGCCTAACACTTGGTATCAAGAGCCTTCGAGGGGAGCGACTTCCAACGAGCGACCGTCGACGACGAGACTACGACGTCATCGTCCCGCGGTGCCGACTTGCAGACTTGGAGTCGTCGAGCCGACATGGATGAAACCATGACCGCTGTCCCCAACGACATGGGCAACACGCTTGCTCAACTCATGCGCCAACTCGAAACGTTGACGCTGGAAAATCGTCAGGTACGGGCTGAAATGCAACAGCTTCGTGAATTCGCGTCAATTTCTCATGGTCATGCCGCACCATCTCCTGCACCCAACACGTCGACTGGCGCGGAAGCGCTGCCGGAACGTCGAAGCGCGCTCAAGCCGCAGAAGCCCGAGCCGTTCGACCCAAGTCAACGCGACGCGAACGTGCGGACGTGGATCTTCATGCTGAACAACTACTTCGCCGCAAGCGGGGTGCAAGAGGCGGACGCGCAGCAGCGGATCGAGTACTCCGTTACGCTGCTGAGGGGCCCGGCCTTGGAGTGGTGGCGCCAACTCACACAAACTGCTGTAAGAAGGGCTCATTTGGACGGGCATCAACAGGGTGAGGGGCATGCAGCTGCAACTTCGAGCTTAGGGAGTTTAGCTTTGGGTGTTACCACGGTTCCGACAACATGGGAAGGATTTGAAGCGGCGCTGAAGAGTAGGTTCGACTTAGTGAATGCCTCCGAAGCTGCTAGGAAGCGTCTGCGTCATTTCCGACAGATAGGAAACGTCCAGGAGTACGCACAACGGTTCTTCAGCATCTGCAACGAGATAGACGATATCACGGAAGCAGAGATGCGCGATCACTACCTCGAAGGGTTGAAGCCGGACATAGCGGAGATCATAGCGATTCACGGATTGTCCACCTTCGAGTCGGTAGTCGCAGCAGCAGAACGCGTCGACGCAGTACGAAGCCGACGGGGTCGTGACGATCGCGATAGGGGATACAAACCGATCACCGACACTCGATCGAGGGACGGACCATCGCCCATGGAGATTGGTGCAGTTAACAGTGACGGCTCACAGAAAACGGGATTTAGGGGGAACTGTCACTACTGCAAAAAGCCGGGACACATGAAGCGGGACTGCCCACAGCTTAAGGAGCGGCAGCAGGGAAACGGAAACCGCCAGTAGATAGCGGGTCGCTAGCTGGTGTGGACGCTTCCGAACCCGCCACGTCTACCAACGTAGAGGAGACGGCCTTAGAGCAGTCATCTACGCCGAACGAGGTAGACACTGTTGATCGTCCAGTCGTGCTTCTAGGGAAGCTTCGCGGTGTTCCAGTCAAGATTCTCATCGATAGCGGAGCTAGCCACTCGTTCGTTTCGTCTTCATTAGTTAGTCGTCTCCATCTCGAGGCAGATTCGGCAGTCAACTTCAAGGACGCTCGCATGGTAGATGGGACGCCACTTCACATAGGACCAGTCATTCGCAAGCTGCGCGTAGTGCTAGGACCAATCACGGTTAGGCGTGATTTCGATTCTGCGACGCTGGACGGTTACGACTTCATCTTCGGTAGGGATTGGCTACGGACGGTTAACACTCAGTTACGATTGGGCTCAGGGAAGCTGCAGCGTCAAGGTAGATGGCGAGTTCCGGGAGCTGCCACAGTGGAGCGATGCGGCCACATCCTCCACAGCTATCATTAATGCTGTTCGTGTGCGACAGTTAGTGAAGCGTGCGGCGCGGATCTTTGCGGTTTTCCTTGAGGAGGTGGAAGCTGAGGAGGGGAAAGGAGGGAGTGCAGCAGTTGGTGAGAAGGCGACTCTTCCTGCTGAGGTGAGTGCACTGTTAGCAGAGTTCGCAGACGTCTTCCCCGACGAGTTGCCCCCAGGGTTGCCTCCCAGCCGAGCAGTAGACCATCGGATAGAGTTGGAGCCGGGAAGCAGACCGGTAGCGAAGCCGCAGTGGAGGTTGAGTCCAGCGGAGACAGAGGAGATGACGCAGCAGGTTAGGCACTTTCTCGCGCAGGGGTTCATACAGCCATCTAGATCGCCTTGGGCAGCACCGATCCTTTTTGCGCCTAAGAAAGACGGAGGGTTACGGATGTGCATAGATTACCGCGCACTGAACGCCGCCACCGTCAAGAATAGGTTCCCGGTGCCGAGAGTAGAAGATCTTCTGGATGCAGTGCAGGGCGCTAGAGTTTTCTCCAAGATCGACCTTCGCTCAGGATATCACCAGATTCGAGTAGTTCCGGAGGATCAGGACAAGACGGCGTTTCGTACGAAGCAGGGGTTGTACGAGTTTAGAGTTCTACCGTTCGGTTTGACCAACGCCCCAGCGACGTTTCAGACGCTCATGAACACCGTCCTCTCCGAGTTCCTAGGTTCGTTCGTCGTAGTTTACCTAGACGACATCCTCATCTTCTCCAAGACAAAAGAGGAGCACGTGCAGCACTTGCAGAAGGTGTTCGAGGTCTTGCGGAAGGAGCAGTTGTACGCTAAGCAGTCGAAGTGCGAATTCTTCCTTCCAGAGGTCGAGTTCCTAGGTCACGTCGTATCCGCTAGTGGCGTTAGGACCGACCCGAAGAAGATTGCAGCAGTACAGGATTGGGTAGCTCCGACCTCAGTCAAGGAGTTGCAGAGCTTTCTCGGATTCGCCAATTACTATCGTCGTTTCGTTCAGGGTTACGCATCGATCGCTAGTTCACTCACCGACCTACTTCGGAAGGGCGTAGATTTCGATTGGGGTCCAGCGCAGCAGCAGGCGTTCGAGCAGAAGAAGCAGTCGCTCACATCTTCACCGACACTGTCGTACCCTGATCCCACTCGCCCGTACGTTGTGGTGACCGACGCTTCAGATCGGGCCATAGGAGCAGTGCTTCTTCAGGACCAGGGACGCGGGTTGCAGCCGATCGCGTACGAGTCGCGTAAACTTAGGGGAGCGGAGTTGAACTATCCCATACACGACAAGGAGGCGCTCGCGATCATCCATGCGTATAAGGTGTTGAGGTGCTACCTAGAGGGGGCAGATAGTGTTATACGCACGGACCATTGCTCGCTTCGTTTCCTCAAGTCGCAGCCGCAGCTGAGTCGTCGCCAGGCTAGATGGATGGAGTTCATGGAGGGGAGTTTTCACTACAGGATAGAGTACAAGCCAGGCGTACGCAACCCAGCAGATCCGCTCACTCGCCCTAGTTGCCAGCTCGCTAGCCTCACAGTCACTGCTGGCCACCCACTTCTCACAGCACTCTTCGAGCACGGTTACACAGTAGATCCCGACTTCACACCGCAGCCGCCCGCAGGAGCAGAGGTGCAGGGTAGTGTCTACATACGGAAGGGTACCACACGGATTTGGGTTCCCGCCTACCGCCCTCTTCGACAGCTCCTTCTTTCCGAGGCACACGACGTAGTTAGTGCAGGTCACTTTGGAGCAGATAAGACGGCTAAGACGCTTAGTCGCACGTACTTCTGGCCAGGGCTTGCAGCAGACGTAGAGGATTACATTCGCTCGTGCGACACGTGTCAGCGTACGAAGTCCTCTCGCCAGCGCAAGGCAGGACTTTTGCAGCCGATTCCACCTCCCGACCGCCCTTGGCAGGTAGTTACGATGGACTTCATCATGGCTTTACCGCGCACAGTTAGGGGTCACGACGCCATCTTCGTGGTAGTGGATAAGTTTTCTCGAGCAGCGCACTTCATCCCCACGCACGGCAAGGTCACAGCAGAGGAAGCCGCGACGCTGTTTGTAGATAACGTAGTCCGACTGCACGGGGTTCCAGATTCCATCATCTCAGACCGCGACCCTCGTTTCACTTCGAAGTTCTGGAAGCAGCTTTTCGCACTGTTTGGGACTCGCTTAGCCATGTCGTCTGCGTACCACCCAGAGACAGACGGACAGACCGAGCGTGTGAACCAGACCTTGGAGCAGATTCTTCGCAGCATCACGATGCACGACGCAGCCGCATGGGACAAGAAGCTGAGCATGGCCGAGTTCGCCTACAACAACACGCACCACTCGTCCACAGGCATGTCACCGTTTTTCGCACTGTACGGTCAGCACCCCAACGTCCCCACTCGTGTCGATCTCACACCCACAGTCCCTCGTGCGGACAACTTCCACCAGCATCTCACATTCATCCATGATCACGTGAGGAAGCACCTTGAGCTCGCAAATGCACGCATGGCACGCACCACCAACCGCAGTCGACGTGAGGTGTCGTTTGCAGTCGGCGACCGTGTTCTTTTGGATAGCCGCAACCTCCGACTGCCACAGGACAGCAAGCTTCGCCCTCGTTTCATTGGTCCATTCGTCATTGAGCGCGCACTAGGTCCAGTCGCATACCGCCTTCGCCTTCCCGCTCATTTCCGCATGCACCCGTCATTCCACGTGTCTCTCCTTCGTCCATACACCGATCCCAACGCCACCTTCTCGGGCCGTGATCGCAATCCACTGCCGGTCGCTGTTGACACCGACGAGCCCGACTACCAGATCCAGCGCATCCTCAGGCACCGACGCCGTCTCCAGGGGGGTGTCTCTTTCATCGACTTCTTGGTTCGTTGGCGTGGTTACGATGCAGCCGACGACAGCTGGGTTCCTTCGTCCTCGCTGTCTCCCGACAACGCTTGCCTTCAAGCGTACCTTCAGTCTGCAGGCGCCGCGGACGTCGCCTCCTTGGGAGGGGGGTAGTGTTACAGGGGGTTTTACTGTTCACTTTGCACAGTAACTCCCAACCCCATCCTTATCCTTATCTTCTTGGATTTCCTAGTGCCACGTGGCACTCTACTTTCTTTGCCTTCTAGTTCCTAGTCCCACAACCCACTTTCCCACAATTGCTCTTGCATGCTATATCAACCTTGCTTGTATTCCCTCATATCAATCAATTCTCATTCAACTCTTCAATTACTCAGTTACCTCTTCGCCTATTTCGCCAACACTCTCTTTCGCCAAAGTCTTCCGCCGCGTTTATCCTCAATTTAGTCAACCCCGCTATTCCTTAGCGGATTTAGGCCAAGGGGCCTAACAACAGGCCTATCGATGTGGAACACTTCCTCCACATCCTCATCGTCCGAAAGGAAGGGATTGTCCTCCTCCTCCTCCTCCCCCACAAGCTCCTGATCGTCGCCCAGGGCCTGTTCCACATCCTCCTCCTCCTCCTCCTCGTCCTCCTCCCCATCGTTCTGGTGGGCAGCTCCTGCTTCGACTTCACCCTCCTTTGCTTTCCCCCTCCTTTCGCGATCAGCCACAGCAAGCTTCACGCTCTTTGCGGGGCGCCTCCTCCTCATAGACCTCCAGACCTCCATGGCGTCCGGCCACTCGATGTCGTAATTCAGGAGCGAAATCTGCATCAACTCCCCCAGCCGCGCGTTGCAGAGAGCGCCGCGCACCCAAGACTTGATCACATTTTGCCTCGAGAATCCTCTCTCGCACTCCACAGTTGACAAGGGGAGCACCGCGATCGCCTGCCACAGGAGGACGAGGTTGGGCCACCTCCTGCCAGGCACATTGTCGGAGATGGGTGGGAAACAGAGTGACCACATGCACAAAATACATTAGACTCCCGCATGGCATACCATGCTGTCACACTACGGGGACATACCTCTTCGAGTCCGCGCTCCCGAGAATGTTGGTCAGTCCCTGCGTGAAGCTTTCCAGCTCGTGGTGCGCCTCCATGATCGCACAGAATGTGGGAAGCTCCCTCTCTGCGGCCTTGAGGTCGAATCCCGGCAGCTTGTGGCGGAAGAGTTTGCTGCATCCCAGAAGCCACTCACGGCACTTCTTCTCCCGTTGTGCCTTGATCTTCGGCCACTTTCCGGCCCGAAACAGCTTCGTCGGCCCCAGCTTCCCCAGGTCATCAAGCCGCTCGTTGAGATTGTCCACGCAATCGCGGGCGAAACTGCGGCACAGCTTCACGCACTCCTCGTATCCGCTCCCCACCTTGTGCCCCGGGAGCTTCCGCTCGTACATGGTGTACAGATGGTTCACTGGGCGTCCCTCCCCGTCCACGCCTCTCACACGGACCTTCTTGCCTCCACCATGCCCGTGCAGCTTCAGAAAGCCGACCAGCCAGCACTTGCCCTCGCCACCGAACTGCTTGTCGGTATCCAAATACCGCTCAGTCAGATCCGCCGTGGTGGCCTCGATGGTCTTCGCAATCTCCGTCAGATCAATCTGTAAGGGCACAGTCATACAGGACATGTCATTTTACATCTAACACTCGAGAAATTGGAGACAGTAGCAGAGGCGTGTTCGTGGAAGATTAAACAAACTCACATCTCGCTTCTGGAAACAGCGGTTGAGGTCGTTCATGTCGGCGAGGATGTCGGCGAGGAAGAACAGGCAAAACTGGAACTTGTAGCACGTGACGATCTCGTACACCTTGTGACTCCGCTCCCACAGAAGAACGATACACGCACCGAGCACCTTGCACAGCCGTCGCACCGCATCTCCACGTGAGAGCCAGCGAACCGTGTGGATCCCCTGGACTTCGAGGTTAGTGTTGTAGATCACACGCTGCAGGTACTTGAACCGTTGGCTCCAGACTGAAGAATCTCCTAGTTTTGCCGCCACGGTGCGCACCACCTTGTCCACCATGCCGAGGTCGGGATTGGACGTCGCCGCGTCCTTAACAGCCAGCGCCTCCCTGCACTAGACAACGTTAATAATTGTTAGAGTAGAAATCAGGCAAGCAACATGAACTGGATCAATAACTGGCACTAAATCTTACCGGTGCGCGATGCAGTGACAGGAAAAGAGATGCGGGGTGTGCTCCCTGATCCGCGCCACCAATCCGTTGTCCTTCCCCGTCATGACCGAAGCCCCGTCCGTACTGATTCCGACAAGCTTCGACACGTCGACGGCTGCGGAGCGCAGATGATTCATGAGCACCTCGAACAGGGACGCAGCATCACACTTCTCCCAGTCAGGAGGGTGAAGAACTCGGTGATGACTCGGCGGTCCTTGATGAAGGTCAGGTAAACAATCATGTGTTTACCACGCGTTCGGTTAGTGCTCTCGTCGCATTGCAGGCCCAGGAACGGTGAGGAGTTGATGTGGTCCATCTGCGCATTCGTCAAGTACGTACTGAGGCAGTGAACCATCTGCTGGAAGCCGTACCTGCGCAGAGATGTAGGTCTTTCAGTTAGTCTTTATGGGGGAAAATATTTCATTACCACGAATTCAATACAGCAAGATTGTAACTAAAATGTCATACCGTGTGAGATAAACACCGTAAGACTGTCTCGGGATGTCGGGCGTGTCCTGCTCCGCGAGATGCCGCATCAGCCTAGGGTACATGCTTATCGGCGCGTCGCACTTGCACAGAAGCACAACCGACCGCAACAGTCGGACGGCGCGCCTGCCCTCGACGTCCGAGTTGATGAAGTTCGAAATCACTTGCTGCCCCTCGCGGATGCCTCTCGCAATCTTCAGCTGCCGGTCAACAGCCGCTTTGTGCGCGTCCGTGTGCTCGCAGCCGAAACGCCTGCGTCTGCATGTCACGGCCTCCGTCATCACCCTGCCTCGCGTACCTCGTGTTCTCCTTCCCGTAGGCCATGCAGACACTGCACTTCACATAGGGAAACCCATCCTTGGTTTTTCCCAACACAAGCCAGGAGAACTGTCCCGACCACCTCGTATCGTATATGATGCTGGCCTCCAGGAACATCTGCTCCCGCAGCTGCGCCTTGGTGAGGGCGGGCGAGCCGGTGTCCGCGCGGATCGGGAACACATCTTCCTCTGGCGGTGCAGATGCAGCAGGTGGTGGATCAGCCGGAGTGTTCGAAGCAGAAATTCGGCGGCCTCCGACGAGCAGGGTATGCTGCGCCCACTTCCCTGAACGCGCTCTCTTCGGTGTGGAGGTAGCCGACGGAGGACCAACGGACACACCAACGGTGCTTGGTGTGGGACTTGGCGCGGTCGGTTGGGGATCTTTGCTGCAAGAAGCAACAGCCGGGGGTATAGCGAAGGCGGCCTCCCAGGGAGACTCTTCAGGTGTGGCCGTGGGCGTGTCTTTAACTGCAGAATCATCTACGGTAGACCTAGGTGGATCCGGTGTTACTGGAGCAGCGGAACCTCTAAGAAAATCAATCCCCGAGCGTGGCTCCGTGGCTTTCGGCGGTGACGGTGGCTCATCTGAGCTAGCCTGGGGCGTGTCCTCGTCAGCCTGCTGGCCTTCCATGGCGGGGAGAAGCTAGAGATGGGGAGAGAGAGAAACGGAGAAATGAATTGAAAAAAGGGAACATAACAGCAGCACCAACAAGACCCTGGCTGTGGGAGGGGGGAAGCAAGAGATGGAGGGAGAAGGTGGGGTCAGCAAGAATCCACCGCGTCGCCACGAAATTGATGGCGCGGTGGTCGAAACAACGAGCCGTCATTGTATTTGGCCTTTCATGCAGGCCGAATACATTGAACGATTGCTTCACTGCCAGCGACGACAGCCACTAAGTGTCTCCCTCCAATGAGGGACACGTAAAGTGATTTGCGCGGTGCGCGTGGCAGTATATAGGATGCTTCTAGGTGCGCTGTCAAATTTGACAGCTGTGCTGTACATCGATGCTGTACAAAGGACAGTTGTGTTCTGTGTCGGTTCTTGTCACTAGTGCGTGTGAAACGAAGCCCCCACATGGTTAGGTGCGAAATCATAATTACCCACATAGGGGGGTATCGGAACGAAGCTTCTACGAAGCTTCGTTCAGATAACATCACTTTCAGGGTCCACAGGTCGCGTACTCTGTATTGACAGGGTCCATGAAAACACTACACTGAGAGTGTATTGAGAATTTCAGGCTCCGCTAAATCAATACTCTGAATGGATCAGGGACCAAAATGTGAAAAACCTGATTTCACAGGGATCACAAGGTGAGAAGCCTGAAATCACCCTGAAATCAGGGTAATTACCCTGATAAAATCAGCCCTGGCTTCCACCCAAGTCATGCCGTTGCTCATGTGCAACGGATAGACTCCGCTAATGTTATGTAAGAATAGTGGCTAGAGGGTGAGACTAGGAGGCATCCCAGGGTTTAGGCTAGGCATGACTATCTAGAGAATCGGAGCAAGAAATAGGGGTTTCACTATAGAGAGTAAAGTACAAATAGTAAAGGAAAGGGGTACACCACCAAGCAGGAAATTAGGATAACTACACTACAGCTAGAACTACATGCAGTTATAAAAATATAATTCTGACATGCTAGCCCTAGAATTATTGTTGCCGTAGGATCCCGCCAGCAATAGCCGCGTGGCCATTAGATCCTCTGCACAGGTTGAGTGGCGGCGTCCCTTGGCGGTATCTTCCCTTATTTTCCACTTGAGAATACGCCCCTGAACCCCGCTTTGGCAAACTGGAGCTGCAGATGTTGCAGGGGAATCGCCAACGTTAGCAGCCTCCCGAGATGGGTGGTTGCTGGAATGTGCGCGGAGGGTGGTTTCTGAATTAACCCTGGGCAGGTCTCCGTTGCTGCTTGAGGCGGTACTTGACGACCACGCTGCGAAATCCTGGTAACGCGGACTCAGCTCGCTAGTCGTTCCATGTGGCGAAAGTTGTCGAGGGGATGGCGAGATGGACGAACAGGGCGACAACGATGGGGTGGTGGCACCGATAAGACGGGGTGACCTGGGAGCTGATGGGGATTTCGGGCTTCGCGTGTCGTAAGGGAGGTTCTGCTGCTCGTGCTTACGCCTCTGCCTCGGTTGGCGTCGCTGCTGGTGGTGCGGCGGTGGCGCTTCTGAAGCCCCTCGCGTGGACGTATCAATCGCCAGCGACGCGCGGCGAGACATAGCCAACGATCTTACGAAGTTGAGCGAACCAGCGAACTCACGAAAATTGTCGCTTTGAATGTGCGATTGAGACGACTGTCTAAGGTCTTGTGAAGGGTGTTCGGGGCTGGGGGTCTCGCCGCGAATTGACGGCGCACTGGCGTAAGATCTCGTGCGCGGGAAGCCGCTGAACGACCCATCGTCGGCGTTCCCAAGGTCGGAGCTTCCGTCGGAGTTGGTAACCCAATGGAGGTAATAACTGCTGCCGGATCGCAGGAGCTTCTCGGCGGGGAGGACTTCGCGGTTTGAGGTAAACGAGCCGACCGCGAAGCCTGGGTGTTCCTTCATTATGTCAGAAACGCGGGTTCTTTCAATAATTAACCTCACGCCTCCATCAGGGAGGAGGAGGAGCGCCGCTTGCGCCATTTCGTATCTCAGTCTGAGCACGTTGACACAGCAATCCGATCAGGAAGCGGAGAGTTGTTAAACAGAGACTAGGGTAGTAATCAGCTCGTCTCGGCTGTCGTTTCGAGACAGCTAGATAACGAAGCGAACGGTGTAAGAATCCTGAACTTTTCTGAAAGGCCTTCACGTTGCATGAAATTCACAGCTGTCATAAACCCGTCGGAATTAGGAGGATATATGTACAGCTCTACGGACAGCTGTGAGAGGGGCCTCGACGGAAAGCACCTTGTTGTCTGGCTGCCCTGCATGGTCCAGCCAACCTACGATTGTAGGGGAAAACCGCCGACCAGAGTTGCTATCATTCTTGTCCAAACCGCGTCACTGCCGGACACGCTTCAGTGTCAACAAGAACAAGGGCTGTCTCACACGTAAGCGAATGTACTTTTCGAGCTGTCTCACACGCAACCGCTCAAAAGTCCGCTGGCGGCGTTACGAACAAGGGGCTGGCGGTTACACGTAAGCGACATTCTCCCAATTGGAGCCGAAAAGCCCGTGCGTTTTTTGAACGGTGGCGGTGCCGAAGCGTGCCGCGTCTGCGTGACTCCCAGGCCGGTATTCTCGAGGCAGGTGGTGGATTCTATGCTTCAAGCGCCATCTACATACAGTCGATGTACACGCACCAGCGGGCCGCGGTGCCACGGGTCTGACGTGCTATCTCGCCAGAGGGCAAGGCATCAAGGCGAATGTGACAATCACAGTCTACATCTGGCGCTTGCGAAAAAAACATTAGCTGACGCGAAATACCATCTGGTTGAAAAGCAGCGACGTTACCAGCACAAAAGGCAGCCGGGGGGACTTGACGTGGGAGCTGAGCAGCCACACAACGCAGAGCCAGTGCAATTGAAACACGGTAGATCAGTTAAACGCTGCCGCGAGACCAATAGAACGCGTCTACCATATTGGAACTGTATGTTATTATAAAACAATAAATCAAATTGCAAGTATCCCTATTCTCTGCTACCCCAAGCCAAGCAGCTAGTTGACTAGCTCCACGTGGGTAAGGGTCTCTTCGTCTCTGACTTGAATTACAGTTCGGTGAATGATCTGTTAAATGAAGAGCAAACACGCATCTCAAAATTTCAAAATGATGTGAGCTAGGGCATTTTAAAAAACAAGTGACTAGTAGGAGTATAATACATGACCCTATGAATGCTTGGGAGCAGTTATAAGTACCTGCATGCATGTACGCACCTGATCCACCATGTAACCCCACGTACAAATGCACAATCACCCAACCCACTCCCACTCAAGTACCCTCCCCCCCTCTCCTCACTCTCTCTCTCCCCCTGCCCTCCCCACCACCCCCCCTTTCTACCCCTTCCCTCCCCCCCCCCCCCCCCCCCCTCCCTCTCTCCCCATCTCCCTCTCTCGCCCCATGTGCACATGCAAAACCACCTCTCCCTCACGGATGACACCTTTGAAACACCTCTGAAACCCCTCACGGATGACACCTCTGATACGCCTGCACTTTACGTGGGTTGAGCGTGTGTGTGTTTCAGATGGAATAAGCACTTAACACCCCCACTCCCCTCTCAATCCCCACCCATTTTCGCACCTCTGTCATTCATCGTTACGACACATCAGTGGCCTTGAAATGTGGGGCGCGACTATAACGCCAGGAGGGTGATTTTAAAAAGGGGATACAAACTTACACCCGCACTCCCCTCCCCTCCCCACTCATGTGTGCGCACCTCTGCCATTCTTCATTACAACACCCCAATGACCTTTGCAATGTGCTTCGTGTCAAGAACACCAGGAGGGTGAATTTAAACGGGCATGCCTGTACTCACACACTCCCCGCCCTCCTACCCCCACACACGCACCTCTGCCATCCGTCGGTAAGAAACCTCGGTAACGCCCGCAACTTGTGGTGTGACAAAAACGCCAGGGAGTTTCAAAAGATATACACACTTACATTCACACCTCCCCTCCCCCACCCCTTCCCATGCACGCACCTCTGCCATTCGTCGGTAAGAGACTTCGGTCACGCCCGCAACATGCGGTGTGACTATAACGCCGGGGTGCTTCAAAAGGGGCTCTGAGGGGTCGATAGGTTCTTGCCACGCCACGTCAATCCCAAGGCCAGCTAGTGAAGCGGATTCGAGTGCGTGGAGGATGGCGGGGTAGTGCAGGAGGCCCCCTCTTGCCACATTCACTAACACGGCCGACTGTGGAAGAGAGAAAGTGAGGGGAGAAGTTGGGGGAGGCGGGGAAGCGGATTTGAGCGTCTGGAGGATGGGGGGGCAATGCAGGAGGCCCCCTCTTGCCACGTTGACGAGAATTGCTGATTGTGGAAGAGGAGAGGGTTAGAGGGGGAGGATATCAGGACAAGGGAGAAAATGGAGAACCAGGGGAAGAGAAAGAGGACCAGGGGAAGAGAATGGAGGACCAGGGGAAGGGGTTCAGGGGAAGGAGGAAGGGAGAAAGGGTTGGGAGAAAGGGGAAGGTGGGGAATGGAGGGAGGGAAGAGCGATTAGAGGAAGTGGGGAAGAGTCGATGGGCTCATGTCGTGCCACATCAATCCCAAGGCTCGCCGGAAATCGAATGTGAAAGTAAATCAAACGAGGCGTCTCAAAACAAAATTTACTTTGCACCAGTGGGCCCCCTGATACGCCATGTCAAGTCTGAGGCGTGTAACGAGCCCAACACAAATCAATAAAATATTCGGATATTGTGGGGTTAAAAGAAGGCAGTTGAGAGGCAGTTACGATAGTCATGGAGATATGCCTTGGCTAAGGTGTTGGAAAGGTTTTGTGAAAGATATCTCTGTTGATGCGTGAGAACTATTTCCGTATCTAGGGGGTATGATGGATGGAGCGAGGTTGTCACACTTTGAGATTGCTCAAAAGTGAGGCCTGCTTTTGTGCCAGTCATTGGTGACGGGGAGACCTTGTGCCTTTTGATTTTTCTGCTTGCTCGTGCTTGCCTGTGCTTGCCCCTGAGTGCCTGTGAGTGCCTGTGAGTGCCTGTGAGTGCCTGTGAGTGCCTGTGAGTGCCTGTGAGTGCCTGTGAGTGCCTGTGAGTGCCTGTGAGTGCCTGTGAGTGCCTGTGAGTGCCTGTGAGTGCCTGTGAGTGCCTGTGATTGCCTGTGAGTGCCTGTGAGTGCCTGTGAGTGCCTGTGAGTGCCTGTTATTGAACCTCGTTCTAGTCTTCATGA